TTAACATGAAAATGTACTGTATATATGTGACTTTAAGTTGCTTGCGTCAGTCAAAATAATCCCAATGTACATAAGTATATATTGGGATTATTTTGGTACCCATATGTATATATATTTGGTACCAATATATATAGGAATATGGTGGCTTAATTCAGTTTATCATTTAATCCAAGCAGTTGCACACAATTTATCTCTAATTTAATCAATATTAAACAGCAACTGAATTCATAAAAGCGTAAATTTAAGATTAAACAAGCAAAATTAGATTAATGTCGATTTATTGAAATATAAACAAAATTTCACATAAAATTTACCTTAACCATAATACGAAGACAGGAAAGTTTTTAAATAAGTTGGATGGATGCGAGAATCTGCTAAAACATGTAATATAATTATATACATCTACTGATTAAAATATATGTTAAAGTAAATTTAAATGCCATATAGGAGATATTTTGAAGGTTCTCTACTCTGTGAGAAGGACAAGACTGAAATGAAGTTTACAAGACATCTGGTTTCAACTAAGTACCAGGGGAAAATAGAGATTCAAGGAATACACAGGAAGTGGATTCAAAGACCAGCAGTTCGTGGAGACCTGCAAGAGGTCCTCGTAACACATAGGTTTTGGTCCCTAAGGAAAGTCTGTGGAACTGGTCTCCACTTCTTCACTTTAATTAAACATAATCCAGTTTCGGAGCATGTATCAGATTATTTTTGAAGCCAGTTTTGCACAGGCTTTCAAACGAATATCGAGACACGATAAATGGATCAGCCTGTTACATTAAACAAGTAATTGTCAACAGAAGGCACCAAGCCTGGAAGACTATTTTGCATGTTATTATAATGGAAACTAATACTAGAGAAATACAGTATTCCTTAGGAGCATAAGATAATTCCCTAGGAGCATAAAATCATACAATCTGGTGCACATATGAAGAAAAAAGGCCACAAAGAAATAATGTTCATTATTGAACCTTAACCAAAATAATAACCACCAATTCCTCAAACGATAAGATGAAGCTGTTTAAGATTATGTAATTATCTATCGCTTTGGAAAGATCAGAGTTCTGGAAAAGTGGCCTTGATGGATGCTGAAATATTGTCTTTGTGAGATATCATGCCAGGTCATTCCTTGCTGTTGCTGTTCCTGGGGATGGTCATGTTCCTGAGAGCGTGTCGGTATATAGTCCGCCACGGAGCGAGGTTTGGCACAGTCGTCACTGGCACTCCAACACGAGAGCCTTAACTTGACTCCATCTTCCTCACCTGTCAGTGGACCGACCCGAGGACCACCATGGTCACCAAGACGGTGGGTTCTCTCACACCTCACGACACTCACAAATAATAATCAGCATTGTTTTGAAACTTTACGTAAAACACATTTTGACTCTGAATGTTGAGCTAAATTTTGTCGTATCTCTCTGATAATAACACTTTATCGCCTTGAATAATCGTTAGGTACCTCAGGTTTTTACAACACAATTCATAAATTATTAGAGCGGATGTTTGTGGAGTTAGAATTTCTTCTTTGCAAAATATTGCATATGTATAAAATTATTTATTGTTCAGCTTTTGTAAATTATTAATTTATATGAAAATAAAGTTTACAGTTACAGTCCATAATATTATGGCTGGTCCACATATGTGATATTCCTGTGTCTCTCAGATCATCGCCCTGGGGCTCCTGGCCACCTTCTGTGCTGTAGCCATGGCCGCCCCTGAACCCGGCGGTAGATATGGTGGTGGTGGTGGATATGGTGGTGGTGGTGGATATGGTGGTGGTGGATACGGTGGTGGTGGAGGGCGTGGATATGGAGGCGGCGGTTATGGAGGTGGTGGATATGGAGGCGGCGGATATGGAGGAGGTGGATATGGAGGCGGCCGTGGGGGCGGATATGGGGGAGGTGGTCGTGGAGGTGGCTATGGAGGCGGAGGATATGGTGGTGGCGGTCGAGGTGGATACGGAGGAGGCGGCTATGGTGGCGGTGGGTATGGTGGCGGCTACGGAAAGTAATATCTCAAACCATTACAACAATATGGTAAGTGCAATTATTAATTTAACAACCTATCATAATAATTATTTTATTTGAGATTCATTTACTGTAATAGTTAAAATAGTATAAAAATCTAATATATTTAACACTGGTATTTTAATATATTTTTCCAGATTCATCAAACCACAAAAGGCTGACCATGAAGACTGATGTGTCCCTAAATTTTAGGTCATCACCAGGAGATGAGCACGACTGCAACTCTGATGATGCTAAAATGTGATGCTGAAACGCTCTAAATAAACGTTTTATTTGTAAATCTTGGTTTATTATCACGTTCGACAAATTACCTTTACTACCTTCACTTCAATATCAGAAAGCCAATAATAATTAACGAAAAAAGAGCTGATGACGAGAACGAATGTCTAATCAACTTTACTTCTTTTCTTAAATTGTTTATGTTCGTTAAAGAGAGCAGTTCATCGGCGACTTGGTTCCCTCTCTACTTTCGATTATTACACTCTAGATATTTCATCATATTCTTTGAGCTATCATGAATCTTGACAATTATTTTTAGTATAATGTTAATATCATTAGCATTTAATGTATATTCCACTAAGCATGCCTATATGAATATATTTAGTTTGGAGTTGGGCTTAGAGACCCCGTCAACCTCTGAAGGGATATTAAGGCCACCACAATATATTCGAGACAAACAACACGTGTACTTTAGTCCTAAACTTAATTGAAATTTCAGTGCATAAACTCCGAAATGCTGGTTTTCGTCTTGGTGTTAATATTCCTTGATGAATAAAAATATAATGCTCATTGTAAATTAACTAATGTAAAATATAGCTTGTTTAACTCATCCTTGACGATGAATTATTTGTCAGGTAATACTCACAAGAATCAAATGGTACTCATTTGGATTTCATATATATTCTAACGTGTGTGTCTGCGTGAATTAGTAATTTCCTATACATAATAACTCATCGAAAATAAAACCTGTACAATTAAACTTTAGGTGATTTGAGGAAGATTATCATTAATGACAAGTTTAATAGGTGGCCAGGTTCCTGAGAGGGTGCCAATATATAGTCCGCAGATCTAACAAAACTTGGACGGACTTAGCAACTACGATTGCAGTTCAAATGAAATATATAGTTTTGTTTTGGGAGCTGCAAGTAAACTGAGATAGTGTGGAGTGAAGCTGGATTGTGTACCACATGTGTACAATGGAGACGGATTGTGTATGTAATGTGAACAGTGTAAACGGATTTTGTATCACAAATGTACGGTAGAGACGGATTCTGTACCACATGTGTACGGTGGAAACGGAATGTGTACCAAATGTGAACAGTGTAAATCGATTGTGTACCACATGTGTAAGGTGGAGACGGATTGCGTACTACATGAGAACGGGATAGACGGATTATATACCACATGTGTACGGTGGGGACGGATTGTGTACTTAATGTTAACAGTGTAATTGGATTGTGTACCACATGCGTACGGAGAGACGTGTTGCTTATCATATAAGCTATTATTAAAATCATCACGTCTGCTCGAGTATTTTTTCTCTCTCACACTTAACGTTATTAAACGTGAATAAATAAATGTTCACGAGGTTAATTTTGACTATATTTTTCCAATCTTTCGAACGATAAATCAATATTTTTAATATGATTAATTCTGAGTAAATTTAATGCATCAGATAAAAAATATGGCATTTTAATAAATTGCACTCAATTGTTGATCAATTTTAACTTGAATGTGTGTTGTATATATGTGATTTAAGTTGCTTGCAACAGTAAAAAAAATATATATATATACATAATTGTCTATATAGGAACATAACTTGCAGCTTAATTCAGCTAATCTTTTAATCCAAGCAACTCATCTCTCCTTTAATCAATAAACAGCAGGAATAATATTTGCAAAAAAACATAAATTATGGAATAAACATTCAAATTTAATTTAACATTGATTTACCAAAATATAAACAAAATTGCACATAAAATTTTACCTTAACCAAAATATGAAGATAGGAAAGTTTTTAAATTGCTGGACGGTTCCGATAAGCAGATAAAATACAAGGAAAAACAAATATATCTAATGATTATTATACATGTTAAAACAAAGCAAAACAGTAAATTTGGATGCAATATAGAAGCTACTGTGAAGGTTCTCTATTATGTGAGGAGGACAAGAATAGAATGAAGTTATGAAAACAACTGGTTACAACTAAGAACCAGGAAAAAAAACTGATTTTAAGAATACTCATGAAGGCGTTCTGGGAAAGCCGTAGGACCTGCAAGGGGCCACTCGTAATACTTGAGTTCTGGTCCCAAAGGAAGCCCTTTGGGATTGGCCTACAGGTCATCCCTTTAATTAAAGATAATACAGTTTCAAAGCACGTATCGGATGCTTTTTAAGTCAATTTTGCCCAGGGTTTCAGACGAATATTAAGACACGATGAATCGATCAGCTTGTTACATTACACAAGTAATTATCAGAAGAAGGCCCCAAGCCTGAAAGACTATGTAGCATATTATTGTAATGGAAACTAACACTAGAGAAATATAGCAATCCTTAGGAGCATAAAATAACTCCCTAGGAGCATAAAACATTACAATCTGGTGCACATGTGAAGAAAAAGGCCGCAAAGAAATAATGTTCATTACTGAACTTTAACCAAAAAGATAACTACCAATTCCCCAAACGATAGGATGGAACTGTTTAAGATTATGCAATCTTCTCTCGGTTTGAAAATATAAGAGTTCCGGAGAAGTGACCTTGATGGATGCTGAAATATTGTCTTTGTTATATATCATGCCAGGTCATCCCTTGCTGCTGCTGCTGCTGGGAATGGCCAGGTTCCTGTGATGGTGCCAGTATATAGTCCGCCACGGAGCCAGGTCTAGCACAGTCATCGCTGGCACTCCCACACGAGAGCCTTAACTTCACTCCACCTTCCTCACCTGTCAGTGGACCGACCCGAGGACCATCATGGTCACCAAGACGGTGGGTTCACTCTCACACCTCACGACACTCACTAATAATAATCAACATTGTTTTGAAACTTTACGTTTTTCACATTTTGACTCCAAATGTTCAGCTAAACTAGTTTTGCCGTATCTCTGATAAAAACACTTTATTGCCTTGAATAATCGTTAGGTACCTCAGGCTTTTGCAGCACAGTTCATAAATTATTAATGCAGAACTTTGTGAAGTTAGAATTTCTTCTTTGCAATATATTGTATATGTATAAAATTATTTATTTTTAAGCTTTAGTAAATTATTTATTTATATGAAAACAAAGTTTACAACCACAGTCCATAATTTTATGGCTGGTCCGCCATGTGTGATATTCCTGTGTCTCTCAGGTCATCGCCCTGGGGCTCCTGGCCACCTTCTGTGCTGTAGCCATGGCCACCCCTGAACCCGGCCGTAGATATGGTGGTGGTGGATATGGCGGCGGTGGTGGATATGGCGGAGGTGGACACGGTGGTGGTGGAGGGCGTGGATATGGAGGCGGCGGTCATGGAGGTGGTGGATATGGAGGCGGCGGATATGGAGGAGGTGGATATGGAGGCGGTCGTGGTGGCGGATATGGGGGAGGTGGCTATGGTGGTGGTGGTGGCTATGGAGGCGGAGGATATGGGGGTGGTGGATATGGTGGCGGTCGAGGTGGATATGGAGGAGGCGGCTATGGTGGCGGTGGGTATGGTGGCGGCTACGGAAAGTAATATCTCAAACCATTACAACAAAATGGTAAGTGCAGTTAATAATTTAACAACCTATCATAATATTTATTTTATTCAAGATTCATTTACTGTAATAGTCAAAATAGTGTAAAAATCTAATATATTTAACACTGGTATTTTAATATATTTTTTTAGATTCATCAAACCATAAAAAGCTGATCATGAAGACTGATGTGTCTAAATTTCAGGTCATCGGCTGGAGATGAGCACGACTGCAACTCTGATGATGCTAAAATGTGATGCTGCGACATTCTAAATAAACGTTTTATTTGTAAAGCTTGGTTTATTATCACCTTCCATAAATTACCTTCTCTTCCAATTAAAGTCTTCCCCAACAATGTGCCACCAAACAATAGCAAACATAAACCCTTAACAATGTGGTATTTGACAAAGAATACGAAAGCCTGAAGTAAATATATCAGTGAAGCAGAGCAATATATTGAAAGGAAGAAATCATCTGCACAAAAATATAAAACAGAATTAGATGTTCAATATCTACATTCTAATAAATATCTATGAACAGAAGGCGTCAAGCCCGAAAATCTATACAGCCCATATATGAGACAATGCTGGTGAGAGGTGGCAGAAGTTCATGGTATACTCAAAACAAATACATCGAGAAAGCCAAAAACAATTAACAAAAATAGAGCTGATAAAGAGAACGAACGTCTGATCAACTTTACTTTTTTATTAAATTGCTTTTGTTCATTAACAGAGCAGTTCGTCGTAGAATTGGTTCACTCTTTACTTTCATTCATTACACTCTGCATTTTTCATCAAATTCTTTGAGCTATCATGAATCTTGACGCTTATTTTTAGTATAATGTTAATATCATTAGCATATATATTGCAAATTTAATGTATACACCAATAAGAATACCTATGAATATATTAGGTTTAAAGTTGGGCTTAGAGACCGGTCAACTTCTGAAGGGATATTAAGGCCACCACAATATTTTCCAGACTAACCAACACGTGTACTATAGTCCTGAACTTAAACGTCAGCGAACTTTTAGTGCTTAAACACCAAAATGCGGATTTTTGTCCTGGTGTTCATATTCCTTGATGAATAAACATATGATATTCATTATAAATTAATATAAAAATAGCTTGTATAACTCATCCTTGATGATGAATTATTTGTCAGGTAAAACTCACAAGAAACAAATGGTACTCATTTGGATTTCATAAATATTCTAACGTGTGTATGTCTACATGAATTTGTTATATACAATGCATAATACCTCACCAAAAATAAAATCTATACAATTCAACTTTAGGTGACTTAAGGAAGATTATCATTAATGTCAAGTTTAATAGAGACGCAGATCTCACAAAACTTGGACGGACTTAGCAACTACGATGGCAGTTCGTATGAAAAATATAGCTTTGTTTTGGGAGCTGCAAGTAAACTGAGACAGTGTGAAGTGAAGCTGGATTGTGACCACATGTGAACAATGGACACGGATTGTGTACCTAATGTGAACAGTGTAAACGGATTTTGTACCACATGTGCTCGATGGAGACGGATTGTGTACCGCATGTGTATGGTGGAGACGAATTGTGTACCTAATGTGAACAGTGTAAACGGAATTTGTTCCACATGTGTAAGGGGTAGACGGATTGTGTACCACATGAGTACGGGGGAGACGTGTTGCTTATCATATCAGTTATTACTAAAATAATCACGTCTGCAGGATTCTTTTTTTTCTCTCTCACACTTAACGTTATTAAATGTAAATCAACAAATGTTCGAGAGGTTAATTTTGTCTATATTTTTCCAATCTTTCGAAACGATACATCACTATTTTTAATATAATTAATTTTGAGTAAATTTAATGCATCAGATAAAAAATATGGCATTTTAATAAATTACACTCAACTGTTGATCAATTTTAACAAGAAAGTGTGCTGTATAAATGTGATTTAAGTTGCTTGCAACAGTAAAAAATAACCCAAATATAAATAATTTTCTATATAGGAACATAATTTGCAGCATAATTCAGTTTATTATTTAATCCAAGCAACTTATCTCTCCTATAATCAATATAAAGCAGGAATAATTTTGTAAAACGCATAAATTAATGAATAAACATTCAAATTTAATTTAACATCGATTTCCTATAAAATAAACAAAATTGCTCATATAATTTTACCTTAAACAACATATAAAGATAGGAAAGTTTTTAATATTGCTGGACAGTTCCGAGAAACAGATAAAATGCAAGGAAAACAAATATATCTTATGACTATTATACATGTTAAAACAAAGCAAAGCAGTAAATTTGGATACAATATAGAAGATACTGTAAAGGTTCTTTATTTTGTGAGGAGGACAAGAAGAGAATGAAGTTATGAAAACAACTGGTTACAACTAAGAACCAGGAAAAAACTGATTTTAAGAATACTAAAGGAGGAATTCTGGGAAAGCCCTAGGACCTGCAAGGGGGCCCTCGTAATTCATGAGTTCTGATCCCAAAGGAAGGCCTTTGGGACTGACCTACAGGTCATCACTTTAATTAAAGATAATACAGTTTCAGAGACCGTATCAGATGTTTTTTAAGCCAATTTTGCACCGGATTTCAGACAAATATTAAGACACGATAAATGGATCAGCTTGTTATATTAGACAAGTAATTATCAAAAGAAGGCCCCAAAAATGGACGACTATATCGCATGTTATAGTAATGGAAACTAATACTAGAGAAATATAGTAATCCTTAGGAACATAAAATAACTCTCAAGGAGCATAAAATAACTCCCTAGGAGCATAAAATAATACAATCTGGTGCACATGTGAAGAAAAAGGCCGCAAAGAAATAATGTTCATTATTGAACCTTAACCAAAATGATAACTACCAATTCCACAAACGATAGGATGGAGCTGCTTAAGATTCCGCAATCTTCTATCGGTTTGAAAAGATCAGAGTTCCGGAGAAGTGACCTTGATGGATGCTGAAATATTGTCTTTGTTATATATCATGCCAGGTCATCCCCTGCTGCTGCTGCTGCTGCTGCTGCTGCTGCTGTTGCTGGGGATGGTCTGGTTCCTGTGATGGTGCCGGTATATAGTCCGCCACAGAGCCAGGTCTAGCACAGTCGTCGCTGGCACTCCCACACGAGAGCCTTAACTTGATTCCACCTTCCTCACCTGTCAGTGGACCTACCCGAGGACCACCATGGTCACCAAGACGGTAGGTTTACTCTCACACCTCACGACACTCACTAATAATAATCAGCATTGTTTTGAAACTTTACGTAAATCACATTTTGGCTCCAAATGTTGAGCTAAACTTGTTTTGCCGTATCTCTGATAATGACACTTTATTGCCTTGAATAATCGTTAGGTACCTCAGGCTTTTGCAGCACAGTTCATAAATTATTAAAGCAGAACTTTGTGGAGTTAGAATTTCTTCCTTGCAATATATTGCATAAGTATAAAATTATTTATTTTTAAACTTTTGTAAATTATTAATTTATATAAAAATAGAGTTTACAGCTACAGTCCATAATATTATGGCTGGTCTGCCATGTGTGATATTCCTGTGTCTCTCAGGTCATCGCCCTGGGGCTCCTGGCCACCTTCTGTGCTGTAGCCATGGCCGCCCCTGAACCCGGCGGTAGATATGGTGGTGGTGGTGGTGGATATGGTGGTGGTGGTGGATATGGCGGCGGTGGTGGATATGGCGGTGGTGGACATGGTGGTGGTGGTGGAGGGCGTGGATATGGAGGCGGCGGTTATGGAGGTGGTGGATATGGAGGCGGCGGATATGGAGGAGGTGGATATGGAGGCGGCCGTGGTGGCGGATATGGGGGAGGTGGCTATGGTGGTGGTGGTGGTGGCTATGGAGGTGGAGGATATGGTGGCGGTCGAGGTGGATATGGAGGAGGCGGCTATGGTGGCGGTGGGTATGGCTACGGAAAGTAATGCCCCAAACCATTACAAAAATAAGGTAAGTGCAGTTATTATTATAACAACCTACCATAATAATTATTCTATTCAAGATTTGTTTACTGTAATAGTTAAAATAGTATAAAAATCTAATATATTTAACACTGGCATTTTAATATATTTTTCTAGATTCATCAAACCATAAGACGTTGACCTTGAAGACTAATTTGTCCTTAAATCTCAGGTCATCACCATGAGATAAGCACGACTACAACTCTGATGATGCTAAAATGTGATGCTGCGACGCTCTAAATAAACGTTTTATTTGTAAAGCTTGGTTTATTATCACCTTCGATAAATTACCTTCTCTTCCAATTAAAGTCTTCCCCAACAATGTGCCACCAAACAATAGCAAACATAAACCCTTAACAATGTGGAATTTGACAAAGAATACGAAAGCTTGAAGTAAATATATCAGTGAAGCAGAACAATTTATTGAAAGGAAGAAATCTGCTGCCCAAAAAATAAAAAACAGAATAAGATGTTCAGTATCTACATTCTAATAAATATCCATGAAAAGAATGCGTCAACCCCGAAAATCTATACAGCCAATATATGGGACAATACAGGTGCGAGGTGACAGAAGCTCATAGTACAATCAAAACAAATACATCGAGAAAGCCAAAAACAATTAACAAAATCAGAGCTGATAACGAGAACGAACGTCTGATAAACTTTACTTTTTTTCTTAAATTGCTTATGTTTGTTGAACAGAGCCGTTCCTCGGAGACTTGGTTCACTCTCTTCTTTCATTCATTACACTCTGGATTTTTCCTCATACTCTTTGAGCTATCATAAATCTTGACGCTTATTTTGAGTATAATGTTAATATCATTAGCATTTAATGTATATTCCAATAAGAATACCTATGTGAATATATTGAGTTTGGAGTTGGGCTTAAAGACCTGTCAACCTCTGAAGGTATGTTAAGGCCACCACAATATATTACAGATTAATGAACACGTGTACTTTAGTCCTGAACTTAAGTGAACTTTCTGTGTATAAACACCGAAATGCGGGTTTTTGTCTTGTGTTCATATTCCTTGATGAATAAATATATGATGTTCATTATAAATTAACTAATTTAAAATAAAGCTTGTATAACTTATCCTTGATGACGAATTATTTGTCAGGTAAAACTCACAAGAAACAAATGGTACTCATTTGGATTTCATAAATATTCTTACGTGTGTGTGTGTCTTCGTGAATTAGTTATATATACAATGCATAATAACTCATCGAAAATAAAACCTATTCAATTAAACTTTAGGTGATTTGAGGAAGATTATCATTAATGTCAAGTTTAATAGAGACGCAGATCTCACAAAACTTGAAGGGACTTAGCAACTACGATGGCAGTTCGTATGAACAATATAGTTTTATTTTGGGAGCTGCCAGTAAACTGAGATACTGTCAAGTGAAACTGAATTGTGAATCACATGTGTACGGTGGAGATGTATTGTGTACCACATGTGTACGGTGGAAACGGATTGTGTACCTAATATGAACAGTGTAAACGAATTGTGTGCCACATGTGTAGGGTTGAGACGGATTGTATACTACATGAATACGGTGGAAACGGATTGTGTACACCATGTGCACGATGGAGACGGATTGTGTACCTAATGTAACAGTGTAAACGGATTGTGTACCACATGTGTACAGAACATATCAGCTATTACTAAAATCATCACGTCTTCGGGAGACTTTTTACTCTCTCTCACACTTTACGTTATTAAATGTGAATAAACAAATTTTCAAGATGTTAATTTTGTCTATATTTTTCCAATCTTTCGAAACGATAAATCAATATTTTTAATATGATTAAGTTTGAGTAAATTTAATGCATCTGATAAAAAATAAAGCATTTTAATAAATTACAGTCAATTGTTGATCAATTTTAACATGAAAGTGTGCTGTATAAATGTGATTTAAGTTTCTTGCAACAGTCAAAAATAACACAAATATACATAATTGTCTATATATGAACATAATTTGTAGCTTAATTCAGTTTATCATTTAATCCAAGCAACTTATCTCTCCTTTAATCAATATACAACAGCAATAATATTTGTAAAAAGCATAAATTAAGGACTAAACATTCAAATTTAATTTTACATCGATTTACCAAAATATAAACAAAATTGCACATAAAATTTTACCATAATCAAAATATATACATAGGAAAGTTTTAAAAATTGCTGGACTGTTCCTATAAACAGATGAAATACAAGGAAAAACAAATATATTTCAGGATTTTTATACATGTTAAAACAAAGCTAAGCAGCAAATTTAGGTGCAATATTAAAGATTCTGTGAAGGTTCTCTATCATGTGAGGAGGACAAGAATAAAATGAAGTTCTGAAAACAACTGGTTACAACTAAGATCCAGGAAAAAAAATGATTTTAAGAATACTCAAGAAGGCGTTCTGGGAAAGCCCTAGGACCTGGAAGGGAGGGCCCTCGTAATACATGAATTTTAGTCCATATGGAAGGCCTTTGGGACTGGCCTAAAGGTCATCACTTTAATTCAAGATAATACAGTCTCAGAACACGTATCAGATGTTTTTTAAGCCAATTTTGCATAGGGTTTCAGACGAATATTAAGACACGATAAATTGATCAGCTTGATACATTAAACAAGAAGTTATCAGAAGAAGGCCTCAAGCCTTTAAGACTATGTAGCATATTATAATAATGGAAACTAATATTAAGGAAATATAGTAATCCTTAAGAGCATAAAATATCTCAGTTAGGAGCATAAAATAATGCAATCTGGTGCACATATGAAGAAAAAGGCCGCAGAGATATAATGTTCATTATTGAACCTTAATCAAAATGATAACTACCAATTCCACAAACGATAGGATGGAGCTGCTTAAGATTCTGCAATCTTCTATCGGTTTGAAAAGATCAGAGTTCCGGAGAAGTGACCTTGATGGATGCTGAAATATTTTCTTTGTTATATATCATGCCAGGTCATCCCTTGCTGCTGCTGCTGCTGGGAATGGCCAGGTTCCTGAGAGGCTGGTGGTATATAGTCCGCCACGGAGCCAGGTCTAGCACAGTCGTCGCTGGCACTCCCACACGAGAGCCTTAACTTGACTCCACCTTCCTAACCTGTCAGTGGACCGACCCGAGGACCACCATGGTCACCAAGACGGTGGGTTCACTTCACACTAATAATAATCAGCATTGTCTTGAAAATTGACTTAAATTCCATTTTGACTGAATGTTAAACTAAACTTTGCCGTATCTCTGATAATAGCACTTTATTGCCCCTGAATAATCGTTAGGTACCTCAGGCTCTTTCAATGTAATTTATAAAATCTTCAAACAGAGCCTTTTGGAGTTAGAAATCCTTCTCTCTAATATATATTGCAATTTTTTAATTACCTATTTTGCAACGTTTTGCAAAATATTTCTTTATCGCAAAACAAAGTTTATAGCCACAGTCCATAATATGTCTGGTCCGCCATGTATGATACTCCTGTGTCTCTCAGGTCATCGCCCTGGGGCTCCTGGCCACCTTCTGTGCTGTAGCCATGGCCGCCCCTGAACCCGGCGGTAGATATGGTGGTGGTGGTGGATATGGTGGCGGTGGTGGATATGGTGGCGGTGGTGGATATGGTGGAGGTCGTGGATATGGAGGTGGCGGCGGCTATGGAGGTGGTGGCTATGGGGGAGGTGGAGGTGGCTATGGAGGAGGCGGATACGGAGGCGGTCGAGGGGGATATGGTGGAGGAGGATACGGAGGCGGCGGATACGGAGGCGGTCGAGGGGGATATGGTGGAGGAGGATACGGAGGCGGCGGATACGGAGGCGGTCGAGGGGGATATGGTGGCGGTGGACACGGCGGCGGTGGCTATGGTGGAGGATATGGAAAGTAATAAGGTAAGCTTAATAATTTCTCATATCACTGACATAAGAACCTAAATAATTTCTAAAACTATTTGTTAATCTTACCATAAATAAATTTTGTAAAATTTGCCTACGCAGTAATTATAACAAAAATATTTTTAAATATGTATTTGCATATTGACATTAAGTAAGATGAGGTTTGTTCACTCTGGCTGTATATTTCAGGTCGTCAGAAGTATTACGTTCATCATCTATCGCTATTGAGTGTCATCGAGCATCACATTGATTCTTCCACATTACTATTATATAAAATAAACTTATCCTGTAATCCATTTGTATCTATTATCACCTTCAATTGAACGTCACTAACTACTCAAAGCTCCCTTAATGGGTGAAATGTGCTCCTAACCACGATAACTAGAAAAATCATTGGGTATAATAACGAAATAACGATGCTAAAAAAAACAGAGTTATCAAAACAGAAGCCGTACCCATAATGCCCTGCAAATAAGAGCCCTTTTATTCATATACTTTGATAAAGTCTTTAAAAAAGCATGGTTTGTTTTATTGCTTCATTTTATTTTTTCTCTATATATCCTCGTTCAAACGTTTTCATTTGTTTCAATTGGTCGTTATTGCTGTTCAAGTCTTTAACTTTGATAATGTAATACCGTCAGGACGAAAATATAGCTGAGAAGTATTTAATGTTTTTAACAGCATCATTTTTGCTGCTTTATGAATTGTCTTTATGAATTTTTTGTCTTTATGAATTAATTATACAACACGTTGACTAATAGGAACGTTATCTTATACACCTGAAGCTAAGGCAAAGGGAAGGGAATTTATCAATCAAAACTATTAAACAATATTTTGCTTCACCTCCTAAAGTTTGAGTAAGATCTATGTTATATATTTAAAGAACTGTTTTGAGAAACAGTGACAGTCATTTTTTGACTAATTTTAACAGGTATGTAAATAGTAAACGTCTGGATGATTGCATCAAAAACATCACAATTTACAAAATACTTTACAAAAATACAGGATTTGCGGTTTAATTCAGTTTATTATTTAATCCAAGAAATAGCACGCCACTTGTCTCTCCTTCAATCATTATATAACAACATTAGTATATACCTCCTGCCTTCTACAAATGTAGAAGGCAGGAAGAAAGCTTTAAAATGTAGAAGATTTATGTTCATATCGAAGTATCATGTATTTTTACATCATTACCAGGAACTAATAAATAAAGAAATACAGAATTAAATATTTATAAGTAGATAATATATATTGATTTACTAAAAAAATTAAATATAAGATCATAGTACAACATTTATCTGAAACCAAAATATTAAGACAGGAAGGTCTTCATAATGGATGATTCTGAGAAATTAAAACAACAACCAAAATAAGTGACATACAAGTGAAAACAATACGAATTAATTATAATTATAATTTTTTATTCAAACTAAATTTCAATATTGGAGGTCCGCCCTGAAGACTCACCAATCTGTCAGAAGGACATGCGAGGAGAAAAGTTAACATGCCAACTAGATAAGTATGTACTTTAGTTGGAATTAAATGACCTGCAATGAAGACCGGTAAGCAGATGGTGTACGAGACTAGACATGGCTGTCTACTCTAGCTGACACCTACACCTGAGCCCTGGCACACGTCATGAAGGCGAAGCTGCTACCAGCAGGGAAGTCATGAACTTTCTCATGAATCTGGGCTCCAAGCTCATCGAAACAACAAGAAATCTAAGAGCAGCCGGCTTTTTTGCCAGCGCCTTAACGTGGCAACCCTGTTCGACATCAGATGATACAAAACTATGGAGGGTGTAACATGTCATTTACCGAGTTCATATTTGTGTAACTATTCACTCACTGAATACTTTGATATTGTCTTCTCCTACCATCCCTATTATTTTAGTATGTGTGTATATATATATATATAATATAAAACTCTCTTTATTTAAAATTTCATTACACAAAAATGTTACAACATTGGTTACATTGGTTACATGCCGGGTACAGGGCTACTAGTCACAGTTGTAGAGTTTCTCCAGCTCCTCAAATGGCGGGCAGGAACCATGGATGCAGTGACCATTTCCTCTCTGGATCGCCACACTAAGGCGCTGAAAGAGGAAACTGGCGATATATATATATATATATATATATATATATATATATATATATATATATATATATATATATATATATATATATATATATATATATATATATATATATACAATGTTTTCCTTTCAAGTTATCTTTGATGCTTTCTTTCTTGTGCCTTCTAAAAATAAAAAAATAAAAATGTGAACGTTTTGGGGTGCATCAGTTGACTTTCATGCGTTCGACCAATAATGACTATAATTACTATAATTTTTTAATGACATGGTTGACATAAATATACGTATGAAATCACAAAACCATAGGTAGTGGCATTTTATTCATTTGAATCATCAAAGATTCGAACTCAGGCCTAAAAAATATGAGACCATTGTCGTACCAATTAGACCATGGAAACTCAGAATACGATAGAATCTCAAAAAATTACCTTCCTAGTACCCAACTGAGACTAAACCTTCCCAGGAACACAAGTAAGGTATCTAGAGGTAATCCAACCCTTTATCCATGTCATATTTGATGCAATCCATAAACAGCCTTGGTATTAACATGTTTCTACCCACATTTTCAGTTTTGTCAACTGATTTCTTTTGGATCTCTATTTTGAATTCCTATATTTAGGCTAAGTTGTATAGTTCATGGCCAAGCTTTTCCATTTATCATAATGTAAAGCTTATTTCACCCGTTAAGGGAGCTTTGAGTAGTTAGTGACGTCTAGGTGAAGGAGACAACGAATACAAAAGGATTAAAGAATACGTTTATTTATATAATAGTAACGTGGAAGTATCGAAGTTACGCTCAGTGACGACTGGTGACGCCCGGTGACGAAGGTACTCATGGTGAAGACCTGAAATATACACACATCATATATGATAGTTGATCTTAACATCAACGCATGTTGTATAATATATTTATTATGTAAACGTAAGCTTAAGGATTGCAATTGTTTGGATAATTACTCTTTTGGCAAACTTAGTAAAAAGGAATAAAATGCGGAGGTTAAAATGAAATGGGAAAGATAAACTGTTAAAGTGAAATGAGGAGGATAAAGTATTATAACTAAATATTTTCCCATATCACCGTTTACAGAAAGAATAACAAATAATTTGTAGAATAATGTACGACCTGAAGTCATCGATTAAGAACAGATTAAGCTTACCTTATTACTTTCCATATCCGCCACCATAGCCGCCGCCTCCATATCCACCACCACCATATCCACCTCGACCGCCTCCGTATCCGCCGCCTCCATAGCCACCACCGCCATAGCCTCCACCTCCATGTCCACCACCACGGCCGCCGCCACCGTATCCACCTCCCCCATATCCACCACCATAGCCGCCCCCATATCCTCCACCTCCATGACCACCACCACCGTATCCTCCGCCGCCATATCCACCACCACCACCACCATATCCACCACCACCACCACCACCATATCCACCACCTCCACCATATCCACCACCACCATATCTGCCGCCTGGTTCAGGGGCGGCCATTGCTACAGCACAGAAGGTGGCCAGGAGCCCCAGGGCGATGATCTGAGAGAGACAAGAATATCACACATGGCGGACCAGCCATAATGTTATGGACTGTGGCTGTAAACTCTATTTTCATATAAATTAATAATTTACAAAAGGTAAAAATAAATTATTCTTTCTTATGCGATATATTGCAAAGAAGGAATTCTAAATCCACGAGGCTCTGTTTGAAGGATTTTTAAATTGCGTTAAAAAAAAAGCCTGAGGTGCCTAACGATTATTCGGGGTAATAGAGTGTTGTTATCAGAGATACGATATAAGTTTACTTCAATATTAAGATATAAATATTAAGATTAAGAGTGATTTATGTCGAGTAATTAGTGAGGTATGAGAGAGGACCTACCGTCTTGGTGACCATGGTGGTCCTCGGGTCGGTCCACTGACAGGTGAGGAAGGTGGAGTCAAGTTAAGGTTCTCGTGTGGGAGTGCCAGCGACGACTGTGCCAGACCTGGCTCCGTGGCGGACTATATACCGGCACCCTCTCAGAAACCTGACCATTCCCAGCAGCAGCAGCATGGGATGACCTGGCATGATATCTCACAAACACAATATTTCAGCATCCTTCAAGGCCACTTTTCCGGAACTCTGATCTTTTCAAGCAGAAAAAGACTCTTTTGTTCTAAACTGCTCCCGCTTTTGGTGTGTGGAATGGTAGTTAGAATGTGCTTAAAGTTCAGAAATGTTCTTTTTATCCTCTTCGTCCATGTGGTACAATTTGGGATGACCCCCGTTATAACGGGGGGGGGGGGGTAAACGGCTCTACTCCATCCTTTACCTCCACCCGTATTCTGATTTATTTCTCTTCAATCCAAGGGGACCCCAGAGCTACTACACTAAGGGTCCCCCCAGAACCCTAGATCTTTCAAATCGATTTTCTGATATGAAATCAGAAGATGGTTGTTTTGGTCTGGAAAACTGATACAGAAGTTACGAGTGTAATTGCTCTTATGAATATATACATACGCTCTGAGGCAAGGCTCAGGAGACTGAGATGTCATGTTATAACTAAGATGGTAGATTATATCTATAGTTCTAGACTGTAACTAAGGTGTTAGGTTACACTGCAACATACTGCTGTTGGTTTACGGAAGAGGATGAAGCAGAGCGTGAAACACCTAACGTGAATTGTCTGTCATATTGTCAATAACTAGAATTGAGATGTCAGTCACGCAAATGATTCAACTTCTCTTGCACATTAACACAAAAGGAAACAGTCATCCAATGTGAGTATTGTCACTTTGTAACACTCAACGTCAAACATTATTAGTAATTGGCAACAGATTTATTGTATTGACTTTTACGAGATATATACAAAATGTTTTGTTTAATATTATTAAACTAATAGACGATCGATGTAGTATGCATAAAAAATACTGTTTTGGGATTTATATTACAAGAAGCTGTGTTAAAGATGTCTCTTCAACACACCAAACGAGTCATTAGATCAATGAATGACATCCGTGGATGAGAGCGGGGAATAAAGTCGATCGAACATCCAGGCCATGTAAGAGTCCAATACTTTTCTTTCACTCAGCCGCCTATCCAAAAAAAAAAACCAGTCGATTTGGAGTCTGAATGCAGAATGTAATTCACCGTCCATATCCTGAAGGCGTACATTCGTTGTCTGCTGGAGGAAAATGACCCACTTTTATCGTAGTAATAGAGACTTAAGAGTTGCAGTTAAAATGGTTTCATAAGAATCTTATCACCAGGGTGAAACAGACGGGGTTTTGACTAATGAGACATAATATTTGAAAACTTACTACAGTGTCGTAGTGATTGAATGAAGGTGACTGAAAGACCCAATATATGCGTAAGTGTATTATCAAGCAAATTTTCGTATGTAACCTTTATCTTTTCTTAACCTACATCTCTTCTCAAGGTGTTGTATGCAATGTTCTGACGTCTATGAAAACAAACTTCAAGAATCTTGTTCAGAATATTGTATACAACACCTTAAGAAAGGATGTAGATTATATCCGAAAAATTGGTTTATTTATTTATTTATATATATCTATACAAGAGTTCTTACATTCTTGTACAGCCACTAGCACGCATAGCGTTTCGGGCAAGTCCTTAATCCAATATTCCCCGGAATACGTCCTCGCCAAATCGTTTAACAACTAGGTATTCATTTTACTTTTGGGTAAACAGAGGCTACAGTTATCCTGGCTTCCCGGCCAGGATACGAACCCAGGACAAAGCGCTCACGAAACGCCAGGCGAGCGTCTTACCAACCACACCACGGGAATTGCATTTATAATACACTTACGAATATATTGGGTCATTCCTTCTCCTTCAATAATTTTTACATTTTGAATAACCTGTGCTGTAAGTGATGAACAGTACTGAGACACGCTAGGCGTGAATGGGTGATCTGTTAATGTGAGTAAATGGGTGGTCTGATGTGAGTAAATGGGTGGTATGTTGTGAGTAAATGGGTGATCTGTTGTGAGTAAATGGGTGGTCTGTTGTGAGTAAATGGATGGTCTGTTGTGAGTAAATGGGTGATCTGTTGTGAGTAAATGGGTGGTCTGTTGTGAGTAAATGGGTGGTCTGTTGTGAGTAAATGGGTGATCTGTTGTGAGTAAATGGGTGGTCTGTTGTGAGTAAATGGGTGGTCTGTTGTGAGTAAATGGGTGGTCTGTTGTGAGTAAATGGGTGATCTGTTGTGAGTAAATGGGTGGTCTGTTGTGAGTAAATGGGTGGTCTGTTGTGAGTAAATGGATGGTCTGTTGTGAGTAAATGGGTGATCTGTTGTGAGTAAATGGGTGGTCTGTTGTGAGTAAATGGGTGATCTGTTGTGAGTAAATGGGTGGTCTGTTATGAGTAGATGGGTGGTCTGTTATGAGTAAATGGGTGATCTGTTGTGAGTAAATGGGTGGTCTGTTGTGAGTAAATGGGTGATCTGTTGTGAGTAAATGGGTGGTCTGTTGTGAGTAAATGGGTGGTCTGTTGTGAGTAAATGGGTGATCTGTTGTGAGTAAATGGGTGATCTGTTGTGAGTAAATGGGTGATCTGTTGTGAGTAAATGAGTGGTGTGTTGTGAGTAAATGGGTGATCTGTTGTGAGTAAATGAGTGGTGTGTTGTGAGTAAATGGATGATCTGTTGTGAGTAAATGGGTGGTCTGTTGTGAGTAAATGGGTGGTCTGTTGTGAGTAAATGGGTGGTCTATTGTGAGTAAATGGATGGTCTGTTGTGAGTAAATGGATGGTCTGTTGTGAATAAATGGATGATCTGTTGTGAGTAAATGGATGGTCTGTTGTGAGTAAATGGATGGTCTGTTGTGAGTAAATGGTTGGTCTGTTGTGAGGAATTGCTTGGTCTATTGTAAGCGAATGGGTGATCTATTATGGACGAAAGGGTGATGAATTATTTAAGAATGATCTCGGACTGCACAAGAGGAAATCTGCCTCAATTGTAACCAAGAGCGGGACGTCCTGTCCAAATTGATTGTTGCCGCCGGAGGCGGCTAGTTTATTGTGCACCCCATACTCATCCTGTGAGCGGTAGCGCAAAAAAGCATTACAGAGGGCACAAAAGGTCTTTATCAGACCTCAACTTAGATTATTACATAAACAATTTAATTTATCCTTCACACCTTATAATTACAATGTCAGCTAGTTACAAAGAATGTTCTATTTCAAGGGTTATATAACAGTAAGTCATTATACATGCATGGTAAGTCTTATCGCTAATACACAATTGCTTGAGCAGTGAAGATATTACACAGTCATAGTGGAGCTGCTGTTTATTATTAGTCTTCACAATACACTATTTGTTTCTGTCCAAATGTTCGTAAATCCTGTGCTACATTTTTCACACAATAATCGAGAACAATCGTACCATTTATCGTCATGACCAATTGGGAGTTCCGGAAGTGTGGCCTTCGCAGTACTGAGGCATAAAGTCTGACACATCATGCCAGGTCATCCCCTGCTGCTGCTGCTGTTGCTGGGGATGGCCTGGTTCCTGTGATGGTGCCAGTATATAGTCCGCCACGGAGCCAGGTCTGGCACAGTCGTCGCTGGCACTCCCACACGAGAGCCTTAACTTCACTCCACTTTCCTCACCTGTCAGTGGATCTACCTGAGGACCACCATGGTCACCAAGACGGTGGGTCTTGTCTCACACCTCACCAAACTCACTTATATACTGTGTTCCTTTCGTGTTGTACTCGGTCTATCAAGTAAATTGTTTTGTACCACTTAATTTTATTTAATTTTATGGAACAAATAAAAATTATTTTTATGATTTTTTTTATAAATTTATATTTTTATATCAATTTAAATTTTCTTATAAATTTAAATTTTCTTATAAATTTAAATTTTCTTATAATTTTTTTATGAAAGTATTTTTTATATAAATTTAAATGTGTGTATACAATTAATTTATGTTATAAATTTAAATTTTTTCAAAAATTTTAAGGTTTTTCCAAGTTTAAAGTAGTTTACGGACCCTATGGCGCCTTATATGTTCAGCTCTCTCTCTCTCAGGTCATCGCCCTGGGGCTCCTGGCCACCTTCTGTGCTGTAGCCATGGCCGCCCCAGAACCCGGCGGTAGATATGGTGGTGGTGGTGGAGGATATGGAGGTGGTGGTGGATATGGCGGTGGTGGATATGGCGGTGGTGGCTATGGCGGTGGTGGTGGATATGGAGGAGGAGGGCGTGGGTATGGTGGTGGCGGTGGCGGATATGGTGGCGGCGGATATGGAGGTGGTGGCTATGGAGGTGGCCGTGGCGGCGGACATGGAGGTGGCGGACATGGAGGTGGCGGACATGGAGGTGGCGGCTATGGTGGAGGAGGCCGTGGTGGAGGCGGTTACGGAGGATACGGGAAGTAGAAAGGCAAGTTTTCTTAAATATCTCTTCTTTTCTTTCTAGTTAACTCAAAGAAATATTTGAATTAACTGGAAAGTTAATTGAAATACTTCAATTTCTCACCATATAATTAATTTATTTGTCCATCATAATAAAAATAACCGCAATAGATGCTGTATTCATATATATTCTACACTATCAAAAGATGTATATATATTATCAAGATACCCCTTCAACGCATGTTAACCTGAACTTATAGTTTGATGTTTTGTAATCCAGGTCACCGCCCTCCTGAGAGGCTGCAGCTCCACTGCAGTATTCCTGTTGAACAGTAGCACTAGTACAAGAGCTCTGTTAAACAGTACCACTAGTACAAGAGCTCTGTTGAACAGTACCACTAGTACAAGAGTTTTGTTGAACAGTACCACTAGTACAAGAGCTCTGTTGAACAGTACCACTAGTACAAGAGTTTTGTTGAACAGTACCACTAGTACAAGAGCTCTGTTGAACAGTACCACTAGTACAAGAGCTCTGTTGAACAGTAGCACTAGTACAAGAGCTCTGTTGAACAGTAGCACTAGTAAAAGAGTTTTGTTGAACAGTAGCACTAGTACAAGAGCTCTGTTGAACAGTAGCACTAGTACAAGAGCTCTGTTGAACAGTAGCACTAGTACAAGAGCTCTGTTGAACAGTAGCACTAGTAAAAGAGTTTTGTTGAACAGTAGCACTAGTACAAGAGCTCTGTTGAACAGTACCACTAGTACAAGAGTTTTGTTGAACAGTACCACTAGTACAAGAGCTCTGTTGAACAGTACCACTAGTACAAGAGCTCTGTTAAACAGTACCACTAGTACAAGAGCTCTGTTAAACAGTAGCACTAGTACAAGAGCTCTGTTAAACAGTACCACTAGTACAAGAGCTCTAGTGAACAGCAATTCTACTACCAGAGCTCGGTTGAACAGTAATGATACTACAAGTGTTTTGTTGAACAGTAGCACTAGTACAAAAGTTCTGTTCAACAGTAGCACTACTACAAAGACTCCGTAGAACAATAGCACTACTAGAACAATAGCACCACTGTTGAACAGCAGCACTACTACAAGAACAATTGATTTGTGATTTCAACGCTACAGTGAGTAATGTAAATAAACAATCCCTTAAACAAATCCTGCCTGTTAATCACCTTCGTTCCCTACCTTGATCAACATAAGTACAATCATCTCCAATATTTGCACGTATTTTCATAACTGATAATTTCCCGCAATATCTTCACGTATTTCCATGCTTGGTAATGTTATAATCTTGGTAAGTTTTGCGGCTGTAATATTGAAGGCCTAAAATGAGGAGAGAAATCCTTAATTAAAAATGCCAAAAGTACAAAATGTAAAATAAAAAAGCCAAATTAAGCCTTATATAAGTGGACTCACAGGATGTGCTCAAGTGCTATACATGACTGGTGATAAAGTGCTATACATGACTGGTGCCCAACGCTCACATTAGCACTTGTTAACATTTGAAACACGATGGCAGTTGAGAGATCTGCAACACTATGTACACACTGCAATATTCTTACTTGGTAGTTGAGAATATTCTTACCTACCTAGTGAAAATATTCTTACCTAGCAAATTAAAATATTCTTACCTAGCAATGGAGAATATTCTTGGCTAGCAAATTAGGATATTCTTATCTAGCAAACGCAAATATTCTTAACTATCTGAACGCAACATTCTAAACACAGTATAATAACTCCAGCCAATTTTGCCTAACCAAAATGCTAGAGTGTGTAGATTCTATTATTTGATTAAAACGAAGACCAATTTGAGCAACTGAGTGATTAACGGACGACGTATGGCACCTAATCAAAGTTACCTTTCTCTATAACCACCCATTCAGGAGATTGGCTCCACTGTCTTATATCCAGTCTTATTGCAATAACAGTCACAAGTATGTAGCAAGATACCATAGTCTTATATAGTTAACAGACACCAATACGTAGCAAGATTACATAGTCTTACATTGTTAGCAAACACCAATACGTAGCAATAATGACTCTATTTTCTCTATATTCCTATTAAAATTTAAAACTCCTGCAGACGTCTGCAGGAGTTGAAGGAGGCATTTGAGCGGAATTCTGTGTTGAGTTTCACTTACGAGATGGAGAAGGATGGGAAGCCGCCCTTTCTAGACGTAACAGTCACGGAAAGGAGTAGAGGCTTCCAAATTGCAGTCTACACTAAGGAAACAGACATAGGAATGTGCCTCAATGCCAATAGTGACTGCCCAGACAGGTACAAGAGGAGTGTTGTCAACGCTTACGTCGACCGAGCTCTCAGCCACCGCTCAGGATGGAAGCAAGTCGATGAAGAACTCTGTAGGGTAAGGCAGGTCCTAGTCAACAACGGCTTCTCTAATGGTTTTGTTGAAGACATCATAAAAAGAAAGGTGAAATGCCATGCAACCTCTGAAAAGTCAACTAGAACAACACATGTACCCGCTATTAGACTATTTTACAGGAACTTCTTTTCGACGGCTCATAAAACGGAGAAAAGTGTCCTGAAAGATATTGTTGATAGGAACGTTATCCCTACAGACAAAAATCAGAAAATACAATTGACGATTTACTATAAAACCAAAAAAAACGGCCAGCCTACTCATGAGAAACTCTCCAGACACAAAGCAGAACGCCTTAAAAGAGACCAACATCGTCTATGCCTTCAAATGCCCATTTGGGGACTGTAAGCCCCAAAGAACTCAGTATATAGGCAAGACATCAACGTCTCTTTCCAGGCGATTAACAATGCATAAGCAACAGGGCTCCATCAAGGAACATATAATCTCTTCCCACAACCAGACCATCACCAGAGAAGTCTTAACAAACAACACAGAAATCATCGATAGATACAGCGATAGCAGGCGGTTTGACATCTGCGAGGCACTACACATCAAAAAGTCAACACCAGCAATCAACAGCCAATTAATGCACAACTATATTCTACCCACTTCAAGACTCCGTACCAATATAGAAGCATCAAGAGGAAGTATGGGCCAATAGGCCCTCACATGATGTCTCTGTTGATCTAGCAGTAATTGTAGGCATCCTAGAGTTAGCCGATTGTTGTGGGTTACATCATGAGAAAGGTCAGTAGTTGGCCTTAGGGGGATACTGAAAAGGTTTCTAGATCTCGCCAACTTAAAATAATTAATAGCCATAGCCTACCAAACCCTCCCAAGATCCCAAGATCCCAAGAACCGCATGCTCACCTTAACAGATATATAGGCCTTGAATAACACATATAATACACACATGTGTTATACTAGGCCTAGGGAAATTTATGTTTGATTTTTAGTTTTAGTTTTTCCAGACTCGATAAAAAAAAAATGTTCAAAAAGGGCTTATTTGGGCTCCATCACTACATAATGGCACGATCGACCACATAGTTACCAAAAGTACCATCACTTAAAGAGGATGTGTCGGAATACGCTGGTACAGTGAGGCAAAATACTCTATATAATAGCAACTGAAGGCGGAATTCTTCCCAACCAATCAACTTCTCGAGCAAAATAAACATATAACAAGAGATCCCGGAGTGTGTGAAAGTGCCGTCACTCTTACTACAAACATGTGACAAAACTATTGTTGTTTGGCAAGAGCATCTGGTTTATCTTTTTAATTGACTTTCGCGCGAGCTTCAAATATCATCTGTGGGTCACGAAATGTGTGATACGTAGTTGTGTGTGTTGCGTAGTTGTGTGTGTTGCGTAGTTGTGTGTTGCGTAGTTGTGTGTTACGTAGTTGTGTGTTCTTTACCTGAGGGGCCACTATCTCTCTCTAGTGTCTTCGACGAGAACAGAAAGCCGGCGATTAGTCAAAGGTCCCCCCCCCCCATTTGTCCTGATGATGTTATCGAGCATGTTATCTAGATTATATTACGTAAATGAATATGTTATAGCTGTATATCACGTAGTTATCATGAATTCTTGTTCCATCCAGTAAAACTATCCAGGTGTCTGCTGGAACACCATCCAGGTGTCTACTGAGAACGCCATCCAGGTATCTGCTCGAGCACCATCCAGGTGTCTACTGAGAACACCATCCAGGTGTCTGCTGGAACATCATCCAGGTGTCTACTGAGAACACCATCCAGGTGTCTGCTCGAACACCATCCAGGTGTCTGCTGGAATACCATCCAGGTGTCTGCTGGAACATCATCCAGGTGTCTGCTGGAACACCATCCAGGTGTCTGCCGGAACACCATCCAGGTGTCTACTGAGAACACCATCCAGGTGTCTGCTGGAACACCATCCAGGTGTCTGCTCGAGCACCATCCAGGTGTCTGCTCGAACACCATCCAGGTGTCTGCTGGAAAGCGAGAGTTTGGCACACACAGGGTAACTGCGAACTCTACTACAAATATTTCATTATTTGCTCTACTATTCCTGCGGCAAAATCAAAGCCAAATTCTAAAAATAACAGGAAGAAAGTAACAGAACAATTGATGATGATATCGACTTGACAAACTGAAATTTCCGGAAAACTGATCTTAATAGTTGTTGATGTGTAAGGTCTTTGTAAAACATTATGCCAGATCATCCTCTGTTGCTGCTGGGGATGGCCTGGTTCCTGTGATGGTGCCAGTATATAGTCCGCCACGGAGCCAGGTCTGGCACAGTCGTCGCTGGCACTCCCACACGAGAACCTTAACTTGACTCCACCTTCCTCACCTGTCAGTGGACCGATCCGAGGACCACTATGGTCACCAAGACGGTGGGTTCTGTCTCACACCTCACCACACTGATATATTTTAAAATCAAGAGAATCAATGAAATGACTTAAAACATGATATATCTGAGAATTCGTGCAATCTTAGACGTTCTTTTACAAATGATTTTAACACTAATTTTAGACATTTGCAGTTTTCATATCCTTCAACGGAAGTATTATGTAATTAGGACTCATTCTTTGCTCTATAATGCTTCACTGAGAGGATAATTATTCGTTCTATCTTTTTTTGTATTAATAATTGCTCTAAATTAATGCATAGTTTGTAGTAATTTTCATTGACAATTTGGATGGTCTATTTGTGTGTGTGAAACATTACTGTCTCTCTCAGGTCATCGCCCTGGGGCTCCTGGCCACCTTCTGTGCTGTAGCCATGGCCGCCCCTGAACCCGGCGGTGGTGGATATGGCGGTGGAGGATATGGTGGTGGTGGATATGGCGGTGGTGGATATGGCGGTGGTGGATATGGCGGTGGCGGTTATGGAGGTGGCCGCGGGGGTGGATATGGAGGCGGAGGTTATGGTGGTGGCGGTTATGGAGGCGGATATGGTGGTGGTGGCTATGGCGGCGGATATGGTGGTGGTGGCTATGGCGGCGGCTACGGAGGAGGCGGCTATGGTGGTTATGGAAAGTAAAAAGGTAATTCTTAAAAGTTCCCAAATGAATTACTCAAACGAATATTATATTACACAATTTGTTCAGTTGTACCATAGTAGTTCCTAATTATTGCAATTTAATAAGCATTGCTTTTTCCATCTGGAGATAAATTTATTAATACATAAAATATTAAAAAAAGTTATTATATCTTCGTTAGGAACATATTTTACCAGGTGCGGCAAAACCATGTGAGGTCGACCTTGATGTCTCTGATATGTCTGTATTGCAGATCATCTTCTGGAGATGAACACGATTGCGGCTATTACTATGCCGGGAAGCACCGATTCTTTATGTAAATAAATATTTTTTATATAAACTTGGGCTGTTATTACCTTCCCCAAAAATCATAAAATATTATTTGAAAAAAAAGTTCTATCAACAGTTGCCTTGTGAATCATAACAATAATATATATATATATATATATATATATATATATATATATATATATATATATATATATATATATATATATATATATATATATATATATATATATATATATATAAGTATATTTTGGTAGCAGTCTTTCTTGTAAACATATGCTGTTAAATATGACCGAAAAGATAAGATTAATAATTCTAACACTAATTTTCTCAATATTTCTTATGTTTCTTTTCACTGTCGATGGTAATTAAAAAATCAATTCTCCAAAATTAATTTTTTATTTCTAGTCTGCTAGTCAATTCTCCAAAATTAATTTTTTATTTCTAGTCTGACACGACACCTGAACGCGTTTCATAATAACTTCTATATTTAACTTCTTCATTCAAAACAGGAATTTTCTCATATCTAAATCAATATTACTCTATATTAGCATTCTGTGCATATTTAGGCATTTGTTAGGTTAGATTAAGTGTTTAGGTTCTGTTGGCGATTATACGTATTTGTAATACGCGGGTGAAGCATTTACAGCGTTGTGGTTCGAACAAAACTCTTCAGCGAAGCACTTGTTCCGGAAGTGTTCGAACGTCATCAATTGTAAGTCGTGTGTAAACCGTTTTTCATTCATAAACAGGGGGGGGGGTTTGGCAAATGCATGAATAGACTTTGGCCTTTATTTATAAGGATGTGCTGGTTGATGCAGCCTGCAACATCTACCCACTGAGTAATTCCCTCAATTTACGGTGAAGCAGGATACCGTCAATCAGGCATAAACCCCGAAAATGGATCCCCAGTTATCAGAAATGGAGGGATAAGATTTACATTAAATGTGGAATTAAACCAAAGTACAAAGGGATTCTCTGAAGTATTAAATAACTCCTTGCAGGCTTACAGAGGGTGCTAGTCCCAAGCATGGGGACATGAGCCCATCAACAGAATGTAAAATAACCGTTATATCTTGAGGTTATCTTGAGATGATTTCGGGGCTTTCGTGTCCCCGCGGCCCGGTCCTCGACCAGGCCTCCACCCCCAGAAAGCAGCCCGTGACAGCTGACTAACACCCAGGTACCTATTTTACTGCTAGGTAACAGGGGCATAGGGTGAAAGAAACTTTGCCCATTGTTTCTCGCCGGCGCCTGGGATCGAACCCAGGACCACAGGATCACAAGTCCAGTGTGCTGTCCGCTCGGCCGACCGGCTCCCAATTGGGGGGAGAAATTCCACTAAACACTATAAATTCTAAACAAAATTTATTAATCAAAGATTATCAATGAAAATAAAAAAAAAACACGCCCTATCTGAAGACTTCCTAAACTGAATATATTCCTAACTGAGGCAAATGATAATTGACTTCAACAAATAATGTGGATTCTACAACTGCAATAACTCAGACACGCAGTAAAATAACTATGGTTAGTAAAATACCACAGTCAGGCCTAGATGTTCTGCCTCGGCTCCAGGGAGCAGTACCGCCTCCAGTTGCTACCCAGTCCACACTGACTTATTTCTCCACTGACCTCGATGAGGCTGACCTTAGCTCAGTTGCCAAATTAATTTTTGAAGAAGATTACTAAGTAAAATCCTGTACTCGTCACTGAAGGTGACTTATATTCCCAAAAGGTGATAATTCCCAAAACAATTGGGAATTATCTAGATACTTGAGGCAGGCTAATTACAATATTCAATAGCACTTGCATTTCACTAATTTACCTCTATTAACAAGCAAGCTAGTAGGTACATATTTTCCAAGTAACGAGATACCATATTCTTACTGAAGTCACATGCTTCTTTGATTACATACGAGGCATATTCTTTATTCTCAATCGACGTTACTTTTAACATAAGTACTTAACCATGCTTGTTTACACATGAGCTCTAATCCCTCGGGGGGGGGGGACCCAAGCCTGTCAGGTCAACCACCAAAACTCACTCCATATGTTTACAAAGAGCGTATCCTCCTTTCTAGTGAGCAACAACTTTTAATGTTAGATCTATGGTCTTCATTGGCGCCTGACAGCTGGGTGGACAGCGCTTCGGATTCGTAGTCCTGAGGTTCCGAGTTCGATCCACGGTGGAGGCGGAGACAAATGGGTAAAATGTTTCTTTCACCCTGATGCCCCTATTACCTAGCAGTAAATAGGTACCAGGGAGTTACACAGCTGCTACGGGCTGCTTCCTAGGGGGTGAGTAACAAAAAAGGAGGCCTGATCGAGGACCGGGCCGCGGGGACACTAAGCCCCGAAATCATCTCAAGATAACCTTCTATATTAACAGTTCTACTGTTACAACCCCCTCGCTCAAGTATTTAAGAAACTTTGTGTTAAACTATTTAGCACGAAGTTTCTTATCCCAATCCATTACTTTCTAACTAACAATCTGAACCAAAGCCTCCAAAAATAACAAAAACTATCCTATCTAACAATCAATGACAACCAGCAGGTTGTACAGCAATAATCATTAATACACAATTGCAAATCCAGGGATGTGAATCTCGACTATCCTGTTGACAGCCCAGTAATTTTCACAATTATATCTGAAGAAAAAACATCCCATCCCTAAACTGATATAACTAAATGCAATATCCCTAATCTTTCAGCATAAGCTAGCTAGCAAAAATCATTGGCTCTCCATTAGCCATCCACGTTTTCCATCCATCTAGAACATGAGAATTTAAAACACAGACTGAAATCTCAGTCTTTCAGGAGAGGAACACTAAACTCCACAAAGTTCATCCATGTGTCCACTCTTTTTATTCAAAATGTAATGTCCCACATGATATTCTCTGTGAGTAACCAATAAAACACAATATTTTATTTATTTATCAATACTACGTCTAATATCACAGTTCTTAGCTGAAATTACAGCAATAAAATGTTCACACTATCACTAAGTGTCAATGTTTATAAAGTTCGCCCCTCTTGCTCTCAAAGCACAGGGTCCGCGCAGGAATATCACTACAAAAACTAAAAAATAAAAAAACTGAATTTTCGTAGTACCAGTTGTTGTAGGCACCGCGCAATAGGTTTTCATTAGACAGTGTTATTTTAAAAAATTCCATATTTCCTTCCTTCAGAATTTTACGTACTTATTTTCTTAGTTTCAACATTTAAACATTATTTTTCCAAACTCACGTTCCTAGGTATTCCGAAGCATTACATTAGTATTATTGAGCAAAGATGACATTTACTTTTCTTTTTCCACAATTGTCCATAAACACACACAAACAAAAAATCGATGATTATGTTAGAAGACTGACGATTAGTCGATTGTAGTTCCAACGACCATCAGTTGTTTGCTGTAAATAATCCTGGTGCTCTTGTACTTCATTCTAGTTACCGCTGAAGGACAACAGACTGTCTGATACTTGAGTGTTGAGTGACCAGTGACAGCCCGTAACTGGATGCTGCAACTGAACCACAGAAGTGCAGGACTTAAACCCCCAACGATGTCTCGTGACGGAAGTAGCTGCAGAAACACGTTGAGGTGGGTGGTGTGTTGACAAAACAAGTGGCTCCCAATTTTTAGTCACCAAGGTTCACTTCATTTCAGGTGTTTCTTGAGGACACCAGACTACTAGACCGTAAACACCATTCGTGTATATCCTTGTACAGTTAACCTTGGGCCGAGGGAGGCGCTTTGGCCCCCCTTCTATGGCGAGTCAACTCTACTCTGTAGGGAGGCCGTGTCGTTCATCTAGTGTCCGCCTCGTTCCGCTTGCGTTACAGTAGACGATGTAACCATGGATCCATCAACGAGAATAATTAGTACTGCTACATGCTGGTTCCCTCTCCGATTTTCCTACATTTACTTCCGGTCTGCTTGCAGTCTTGACGACGCAGCTGGTGGGTGGGGATGACGTCGAGACAGCTACCCACGATGGTCTAAAACGTTGACATCTGGTGACTGCATCATTGTAGACAGCATACTGAGCCAAGACAACCTCGTTAATGACGTGGGGTGACTGGTGTATTGTCACCAACCCCAAGTAACCAATTGGCTAGTTACTGGGTCTGGTCGGGGAGGACTATGTGTAACGTGCCTCCCCCTTGATCTTCTCAGATTAGGATTGACATCCCTACTGGGTTCACGTGTGGCTGGAACAACTGGGCAGGTGTACAATTCCGACCTGGGAAAAGACAGATAACAACATAGCGGAAGCATGGATATAACTATGGGTTTGTTGGAAGTTGGAAACCCCAGAGCAAGGTAAAGCCTGCTATCCGAGTTAAGCACAGTTAAGAAATCCACATCATTACCTCAACAGGAAAGTGTAATGAATCCTAAATGATACTAACTAAGGGAGTTACTTTAACCTTTACTGTACAGTGCGAGATCTTGTTACCATGGGGTGACGAGAGTGCACTTGACTACTGGTGAGAGTTGACAGAGGGTCATTCCCTCCATCTGACTCGTCACTTGAGTCAGCCTGCTGAGTCAGGAATTAGGAAATTATGAAGTTTTCTGTATACATATTTGTTTCGTAGTGTTTTAAAGCAAATTCAATTATTTATACTCGGATATAAATCACCGGCATCTATATATACCTAAAAACGAAACCAACTTTTCTGTGATTATACACAAAAAGATTACTCTCATCCTGGGCTATATGATTCATAGCGGTCAGTCAGTTCTTGGTGTGGCCAAGAACAATTGTTCCCACCGGTGTGGCCCAGTGGGAACAAAATCCAAGACCATCATCGAATCATCGTCATCAGCGTTGATATAGCGTTGATTTACTGTGATTACTGAGCAATACTGTGACCACTGAGAATAACTCTCCAGAGATTCAAAAGCTTTGAACCTGACACCAAACTTTGCTTCTTAGTGAATATACTCAGAGAGTTTGTTTATCTCCAAATATGCATGCTGGTTGCTCAGTTAAGTAGCATCATGTCATTATAATCACTCAGAAGCCACACACTAGCGGTCAGGGATATATAGAGAGAGGTGTACCCTACTTCCAGGTGTATCTACACTGAGAGTTTACTTTGATCGAGAACTATGTGTTGGCCTTAATAGCCCTCGAGAGGCTGGGAGGTCTCAAGCCCAACTCTTCACACAGTATTGGTATAGAAGTTATTGAGGCATAAGATACGAGGAATATGTGCGAGAAGTTTATTATCATAAGATCTTCACAGCATCAGCTCACGGCATCAGCCCTCAGCATTAGCTCACAGCATCAGCCCTCAGCATCAGCTCACAGCATCAGCCCTCGGCATCAGCTCACAGCATTAGCTCACAACATCAGATCACAGCGGCAGCTCACAGCAGCCTTGCTGTGTCTCCTAGGGACGTCCTGCAGCCAGAAAATGCATGAAAATACATAATGATTTTTCTTGTAACTGGCATTTATTTACATAAATTCTAATATTATGAAACAAACATATTTATGAGATGTACGAATTGGACATAATTAAAGATTTTAATAATCTTCATTATTAAAGTTTCTTGTTTTAATATACTCCTATTCTTTTCTGAGAAACCGTATATGTTTACACATAATATCTGAGTAATATTAAAGCTTACTGTTTTACTTTCCGTAGCCGCCATAACCACCACCACCACCACCACGGCCGCCACCTCCATGCCCACCTCCACCACCACCACCGTATCCGCCGCCTCCACCTCCAAATCCACGGCCTCCTCCACCACCATATCCTCCGCCGCCACCATGTCCACCTCCACCACCACCACCGTATCCGCCGCCTCCACCTCCAAATCCACGTCCTCCTCCACCACCATATCCTCCGCCGCCACCATGTCCACCACCACCACCTCCACCGCCCCCGCCACCATATCTACCACCGGGTTCAGGGGCGGCCATGGCTACAGCACAGAAGGTGGCCAGAAGCCCCAGGGCGATGACCTGAAAGAGACAGAAAGATGACGTGTGGCAAATCATTTACTGAAACAAGGAAAATTTATAAAATAATATTGGTCAATTCCAACGCCATTTTAAAACACTGTCTGACTCTTAACGAAACAATGTAATGAGTTCCTGTTGGTGTTAATAATGAACGATTTGCAGCAGAACAAAATAAATATGTTCAAAATAAATAACGACGAAATAGGGTTAAAATTGTTGTTGAATTCACTCGAAGATATTTATCGTACTTGAAGTGTAAACGTAAAACATGTGGATTTATTCTACTACATGTGGATACTACTCATGGATTTATGAGTAGTATATATCACACAACACCCAAAGCCCAGGGTATGTGTTGTGAGGTGTGAGACAGGACCCACCGTCTTGGTGACCATGGTGGTCCTCGGGTCGGTCCACTGACAGGTGAGGAAGGTGGAGTCAAGTTAAGGCTCTCCTGTGGGAGTGCCAGCGACGACTGTGCCAGATATGGCTCCGTGGCGGACTATATACCGGCACCAGCAGGAGATGACCCGGAACGATTGTCAAAAAAGGCATCTCATACTACAGCATCATCCAGCAAGGCCAATTTCCCAACGGTCTCAAACTGTCTTCACGACTCCATGATATTGTTCAAAGTTCATCGTTGAAAGTTTTGATAGAGATTTTTCATTCTTTCTGTTTCCTGGAGTGTTAAAGATTTCATAATGTATTCTTTAAACTTACTTATCCCATGATTCACTGGCTCGACTATTGTGAAAGACTCTTACTTGTAACTTCTTTGACAAACAGAACAAAAATATCGCTGATATTAACTACATTGCAAACAAGTATTAAATTGATTTTAAAATGTATAATTAGTGTTCTGAGAATCAGGAAAGAAATAACACCAAAACATATGAACAATGTGAACAAAGTGTGAGAGTAAGTAACTTTGTAACTGAGTTACTGGAAACACGTGAACAATCTGAACAGTCTCGTCTCTTACATTAAGTATATATTATACTTATGGATGAAGGGTAAGGAAGTAGGGAAATAACAAGTTTCGGTGACGGGATATTTTAGTGAGATAGAGTGCCAGGGCCTAACCCACCTGCTGGCTACTGTAAGAGACAGTGCCAGGGCCTAACCCACCTGCTGGCTACTGTAAGAGACAGTGCCAGGGCTTAACCTACCTGCTAGCTACTGTAAGAGACAGTGAAAAGGCTTAACCCACCTGCTAGCTACTATAAGAGACTGTACCAGGGCTTAACCCAGCTGCTGGCTACTGAGTCGCAGATAAAGTACCAGTAGAGATGCATAGCACCGCATTAAGCCATAGTAATACTAGAACTAATGTTATTAGGTCAACGTGCCTAGAAGGGGACGCAAAAAAGGCTGTTAGATGAAGCAAGATGGTGTGAGGGTTTTGCTTCCTGTGCCTCAAAATGCAGAATATTTTGATTGTATATTATTCAATCAAAATAAATACATATTCTCATATCTGATGCATTATTTATAGAGGATTTTCTTTACTCTTCATTTGAAGTGAGCTAGGTTAACAGACTCGCAATTCTGAACTCACTTGAGGAAGCCAGAAGTCAGGTGTGTGTGTGTGTGTTTGCGTGTGTCCGATGAGTCTATTGAAGGGTACATGTATACAATCAAAATACTCTGCATTTTGAGCCAAAGAACACTGACATCAGCTTGTTCTATGCTTCTGTGTATTTTGTTCATGTGTTCTGGTGTTCATGTTGTTGATGCAGTCTGCTGGTCGTGTGCTCTGTCGTTCATATTGTTCTATAGTGTTCTCTAGTTAATGTATTCTATAGTTCACATTGTTCATATGTTCTGTCGCTCATATTTTTTCTGTTTTCTGTTGTGCATATGTTCTGTCGTTCATATAGCTAATGTGTTCTGTTGTGCATGTGTTTTGTCGTTCACATTGTTCATGCGCTCTGTCAGTGTTCATTGCCTCGTCGTCAAAAAACTAAACGATTAAACATGAATGATATGCTTTTAATATAATGAATAATATTACAGACTTATTTCAATTTTTCACGAAGGAGTAAATATTGATAAAAAGTTGATCAGTTGCAAGCCAGCGATGCAGATGAGAATGTTTAAGAGTGTACCGTGCAATATTAACACTCAAGCATGTATGTAGAATTAAAAACCTGATTAAAAATCTGAAAAACACTTTAATCAGGTCTGTGTGAACAATATGATAATGGAGCTCTGATGACAGCTTGACATCGTTGGGAAACTGGCCTTGCTGGATGATGCTGTAGTATGAGATGTCATTTTTGACAATCGTGCCGGGTCATCTCCTGCTGGTGCCGGTATATAGTCTGCCACGGAGCCACGTCTGGCACAGTCGTCGCTGGCACTCCCACACGAGAGCCTTAACTTGACTCCAACTTCCTCACCTGTGAGTGGACCGACCCGAGGATTACCATGGTCACTAAAACGGTGGGTCTTGTCTCACACCTCACGACTCATACCCAGAGAGTTGGGTGTTGTGTGATACTACTTATAAATCCTCACATGTTTCATGTTTACACTTCAAGTATGATAAATATCTTCATGTGAATGCAACAAGTTTTAATCCTATTTCGTCGTCATTTATTCTGAATATTTTCTGATTGCTCTGCTGCAAATCATTCATTATTAACACCATCAGGATCTTATTATATTGGCTCATAAAGTGTTTAAAATGGCGTAGGAATTAACCAATATAATTATATTAAATTTCCTTGATTCAGTAAATGATTCACCATGCGTCGTCTTTCTGTCTCTTTCAGGTCATCGCCCTTGGGCTTTTGGCCACCTTTTGTGCTGTAGTCATGGCCGACCCTGAACCCGGTGGTAGATATGGTGGCGGTGGTGGTGGTGGTGGTGGTGGACATGGTGGCGGCGGAGGATATGGTGGTGGAGGAGGCCGTGGATTTGGAGGTGGAGGCGGCGGATATGGTGGGGGTGGTGGAGGTGGACATGGAGGCGGCGGTGGTGGAGGCCGTGGATATGGAGGTGGCGGAGGTGGACATGGAGGCGGCGGAGGTGGACATGGAGGCGGCGGACGTCGTTATGGAGGTGGCGGAGGTGGAGGCCGTGGAGGTGGTGGCGGTGGTGGTTATGGCGGCTACGGAAAGTAAAACGGTAATCTCTAATATTACTCAGATCTTACGTGTAAACATATACGGTATCTCAGACAAGTATAAAAGTATATTAAAACAAGAAACTTTAGTAAGGAAGATCATCAAAACACACAGGTGTAATTATCTCTACTTTGTACATCTCTTAAATATGTTAGTTTCAAAATATTGCAATTTATTAATGTAAAAGATGCTAGTTACAAGGAAAATAACTTTGTAAGTTGATGTAATTTCTGGCTACAGGGCATCACAAAGAAACACAGCAACGCTGCTGTGAGCTGCCGCAGTGGGCTGATGCTGAGGGCTGATGCTGTGAGCTGATGCTGAGGGCTGATGCTGTGAGCTGATGCTTAGGGCTGATGTTGTGAAGATCTTATGATAATAAACTCTCCACACATATTCCTTGTACCTTATGCCTCATTAACTCCTACTTCCTTGTATCTTATGCCTCATTAACTCCTACTTCCTTGTATCTTATGCCTCATTAACTCCTACTTCCTTGTATCTTATGCCTCATTAACTCCTACTTCCTTGTATCTTATGCCTCATTAACTCCTACTTCCTTGTATCTTATGCCTCATTAACTCCTACTTCCTTGTATCTTATGCCTCATTAACTCCTACTTCCTTGTACCTTATGCCTCATTAACTCCTACTTCCTTGTACCTTATGCCTCATTAACTTCTTCTGTACCAATACTGTGTGAAGTGTTGGGCTTGAGATCTCCCAGCCTCTGGAGGGCTATTAAGGCCACCACATAGTTCTCGACCAAAGTAAACTCTCAGTGTAGCTACACTTGGAAGTAGGGTACACCTCTCAGTTTATCACAATATCATCCTATGGAGGGTTATTATGGCTGTGCCTCTAATATTCTGATCAACCACTAAATGTAATCTAGTTCTGATCATATATACGAGTAAGCAGCTAGTTTAGATTTATTCCTCATCATATATAGATATTATAAGAGAATGTCTGTCTGTTGTTCGAGGTTGGAGGCCAGACGTTTGGGCCAAGTTACACCCAAACTGGCAGAAGGAATGGAGAACCGGATTCATATGGGCTGGTCGGGTTCCCTAGATTTCAGAAGGGAATTATATTAATGCTGAATGTCCCATAATGACCAACTTTCGCCCCCTTCCTCCCCCCCCCCCCCCCGCCCTTTCTCCTTGGGATGAGATATGCTGAACTCTGTTAATACTATCACAAAACTGGAACACTTGATGATATACGGGACTTGAGATGCTTGATTGAGATGTGAGGATAATGCTGGTATTCACTGGCACACAGGACAGAGGATCACACACAAGAAAATAGGTCTAAACTGTAAGCTGAAGCACATATATATATCATAGACAGCATCAGCCGCCATCACGTCCGTAGATTTCCCCTGGGGGCAGAATATCATCTTCCCGGAAGATATTTACATGAGCAGCAGCTCCCACGTCGTGAGCCGCTGCCAGATTACCCAGTAGACCACACCAATAACATGTTCGGAACTGACCTGAGTACATGCAGTGGAGTATGAACCCCATCAGGGATAACGACGATTGGATATCCCATGTCAGGGACATCGTCAGCGTCCCGGTGCCAGCTAGCAGTCCCTTACAATAACCAGCGGAAACTTTTCCACCTCACACTTAACACCTTCTCATACCACCTAAACAGCTAGCCTTGTTAACAGCAAATCCGTAATTTCAAACAGTGCAACACGCGCCGCCATGTATGTTAACGTCACACTCTAGTTCACCACATGCACCCTACCAGCACCATCCGGGATAGGGAAAATGCAACCCCTCTCACCGATCAAGGAAATGCCTGAACACTTCCAGTAATTTCACCACTACTCTGTGAAGTTGAAACATCTGTACACCCAAAAGGTCGGTCATCTGCACACGTAGCACATCTACCAGCATAACACCAATCAGTGTACGGTCAACAGGCATCGAAAACTCTAGTTCCACTGAGGACAATAATTTAAGATGAAGCGATGACTCGATCGTAAAACAAAAACATAACCTGCACACGGAGGGTACAACAAAGGCCACGGGAACAGCCACCAACTACCACCACCACCACGCTCGGGTCGTTTTATGGGGAGCAACACCAGAGTACATCCACTCCCACTAGCGGCCAGCGAGCAAATCAGCAAGTCCGAACTAGTACTTATTTCAGTTAAAGCACGTCCGAGCTAGTACTTTTGGTAGTAAGAGAGACAGTTACTATTACAACCATCTTTATTGGTCCCATCTGCCAAAACCTTCCATGATGAAAAGATTCAGTGTCCTAATAGCTTTCCAGCTGGACGTCACGTTTGTTGCCAGGCTCCAACCCGTCCTCGATTCAAGTCCATTACATCCAGCGGTCGACCCCACAGACGCATTCATAAATTTTAATATGCTGTTCATTCAAAACGGGAATTTTCTCAAGTATAAATTAATATTATAATATATTAGCATATTGTGCATATATAGGCATAGGTTAGGTTAGGTTAGGTGTTTAGGTTCTGTTGGCGATTATTTGTATTTGTAGTACGTGGGTGAAGCATTTATAGCGTTGTGATTCGAACAAAATTCGTCAGTGAAACACTTGTTCCGGATATGTTCGAATGTCAGCAGTTGTGAGTCGTGTGTAAACCGCTTTTCATTCATAAACAGGGGGTTTGGCGGGTGCATGGAATCACTTTTGGATCTTTGTTTGGAGGACGGGCTGCAGGCGCGGCGAGTGGCCATGTCCGTTCTCCAGTTCTGAGCTAATGCAACCCAGCAGTCAAACCCAATGACGCATTCATCAATTTTAACACGGTTCTCATTAAAATAGAAAATTTCTCAACTCTAAATTAATATTGTTATATATTAGCATACTGTGTATAGTTAGGCACAGGTTAGGTTAGGTGTTTCAGTTCTGTTGGCGATTATTTGTATTTGTAGTATGTGGATGAAGCAGTAACAGCATTGTGGTTCAAACAATTGTCGTCAGCGAAGCACTTGGTTCCCAAAGTATTCAGACGTCATCCAGCCCGTTCTCTAAACAGAGACCCAAAGTCCATTTCATGCACCCACCAAACCCCCTGTTTATGAATGAAAAACGGTTTACATACTACTTACAACTGATGACGTTCGAACACTTCTGGAACAAGTGCTTCACAGATGAATTTTGTTCGAACCACAATGCTGTAAATGCTTCCCCAGCATACCACAAATGCAAATAACCGCCAGCAGAACCTAAAGACCTAACCTAACCTAACCAGTGCCTAAATATGTAGAAAATGGTAATATAAATTTATATTTGAGAAAATTCCTGTTTTGAGTTAACAGCATGTTAAAATTTATGAATGCCTCTTTGGGGTCGACCGCTGGATGGAATGGATGTGGTCAGAGGACTGGTTGCATCATCAGTTGTGAGTCGTGTGTAAATTGTTTTTCATTCATAAATTGGGGGTTTGGCGGGTGCATGGAATGGACTTTGGCCTTTATTTATGAGGATGGTCTGGTTAATGCAGCCCGTTCTCATGAATAAAGGCCAAAGTCCATTCCATGCACCCACCAAACCCCCTGTTTATGAATTAAAAATACTTTTCACACGAATCACAACTAATAATGTTCGAACACTTCTCAATCAAGTGCTTCGCTGACGACTTTTGTTCGAGCCACAACGCTATAAATGCTTCACCCATGTACTAAAAATAAAAAATATCGGGAACAGAACCTACTACTTTGTGTCTACCTTGTGTAGCTTCCGGGGATCAATTCTCCCAGTTGATCAGATATTCTTTGGAGGTGTTTGTCGAGTTCTCTCTTGAACACCGTGAGAGGTCGGCCAGTTGTGCTCCTTACGTGTAGCGGGAATGTGCTGAAAAGTCTTGGGCGTCTTTAGAGTCTGGTTGAAATCTATATAATTCCCAACAGAAGCTAAAACAAGGATAATGTGTGTGTGTATGTTTGTGTTTAGGTGTGTGCATGTCGCAAACTTGGGGAGTGTAAGTATTTTCTACGAGTTTGTGGCAGGTGTTTCTGTGTATTTGTTTATATAAATCTTATCACCTGGTTTTTATTGGTTTCTATCAGGCGTAGAAGCACTAGAGGGAATAAGTAAGAGAGCACAACCCAACAAGTATTTATATGTAAATTATGAAGTTTTCTATTTACATATTTGTTTTGTATTTGTTTTTGTTTTTTATAGCAAATTCAATGATCTATACTCTGATATAAATCACCAGCATCCAAAAACGAAGTCAACTTTTCGGTGATTATAAACAAAAATATTACTCTAATCCTGGACTATATGACTTATAGTGGTCAGTCAGTTCTTGGTGTGGCCAAGAACAATTGTTCCCACCGGTGTGGCCCAGTGGGAACAAAATCCAAGACCATCAACGAATCATCGGCATCCGTGTTGAAACAGCGTTGATAACGTTGATTCGTTATCGATCCAACGCAACTCCTGGATATTGTGACCACTGAGAATAACGCACCTGATATTCATAATCTTTAAACATGACACCAAACTAAGAGGTGTACTTTTCTTCTCAGTGTATATGTTCAGAGAGTTTGTTTATTTCCAAATATGCATACTGGTTGCTCAGTTAAGTAATACTCTACTTCTAGGTGTAGCTACACTGAGAGTTTACTTTGGTCGAGAACTATGTGGTGGCCTTAATAGCCCTCCAGAGGCTGCGAGGTCTCAAGCCCAACACTTCACACAGTATTGGTACAGAAGGAGTTATTGAGGCATAAGATACAAGAAATACGTGTGGAGAGTTTATTATCATAAGATCTTCACAGCATCAGCTCACAGCATCAGCCCTCAGCATCAGCTCACAACATCAGCTCACAGCAGCGTTGCTGTGTCTCCTGGTAATGCCCTGTAACCAGAATATACATCTACTTGCAAAATTATTTTCCTTGTAATTAGCATTTTTAACATTAATAAATTGTAATATTAGGAAACTAACATATTTAAGAGATGTATGAAGTAGAGATAATTTACAGCTTTGTATTTTGATGATCTTATTTATTAAAGTATTTTTCAGTTTTAATATACTATTATACTTGTCTGAGATACTCTAAACGTTTACACGTACGATCTGAGTAATATACAAGATTACCGTTTTATTTTCCATAGCCGCCATAACCACCACCACCACCACCTCCACGGCCGCCACCTCCATGTCCACCACCGCCACCTCCATATCCTCGGCCACCGCCTCCATGTCCACCTCCGCCACCTCCATAGCCACGGCCTCCACCACCGCCGCCACCTCCTCCACCACCACCGTATCCGCCGCCTCCACCTCCAAATCCACGCCCTCCTCCACCACCATACCCTCCGCCGCCACCATGTCCTCCCCCTCCACCACCACCACCACCACCACCACCGCCATATCTACCACCGGGTTCAGGGGCGGCCATGACTACAGCACAGAAAGTGGCCAGAAGCCCCAGGGCGATGACCTGAGAGAGACAGAAAGATTAGGTGTGGTGAATCAATTGCTGAATCAAGGAAATTTAATAAAATAATATTGGTTAATTCCTACGCCATTTTAAAACACTTTATGAGACAAAATAATAACTTCCTGATGGTGTTATTAATGAATGATTTGCAGCAGAGCAATCAGAAAATATTCAGAATAAATGCCAACGAAATAAGGTTAAACCTGTTGATGTATTCACATGAAGATATTTATCATACGTGAAGTGTAAACATGAAATATGTGAGGATTTATAAGTAGTATCATACAAGATCCAAAGCCCAGGGTATGTGTCTTGAGTGCAATAAGCTAAGTTTGTTTTAGAAGCTTATAGATCTCAGATCATATGGTCTTACATTGAACACAAGCTAGTGGAGTGAGCGGGTACTTTTTACCTGGTTAGGAGTAAAAAAGATCAGTCGCCAGAGATTAAAAGATTAGCGAGGATAGAATTAATTAATCATCATTATCACATGGGTTTGGTTGTGGCAGCTGAGAAGGTCTCAAGAGTTTGTTAGGGGGGGCAGTAGTTTTCTTGTTTGTAGTATCTAAGGCAACCAACCGTCTAAGATCACGAGGAGTGGACTGAAGGCTATAGTAGAGTTCTGGGATCTTTAAGTATAGTTAACTAAGGGCTGGGAAGTGAACGAAAGAGAGACATTACTCCGGCCCCCGTTACATGTAATGTAATGTGAGAGTGAACCCACCGTCTTGGTGACCATGGTGGTCCTCGGGTCAGTCCAATGACAGGTGACAAAGATGGAGCCAAGTTAAGGCTGTCGTGTAGGAGTGCCAGCGACGACTGTGCCAAACCTGGCTCCGTGGCGGACTATATATTAGCATCATCAGGAGATGACCCAGCACGATTGCCAAAAATGACACCTCATACTACAGCATAACCCAGCAAGGCCAGTTTCCCAACGATCTCGAACTGTCATCAGAGCTCCATTATAATATTGTTCACACAGACCTGATTAAAGATATTTTCAGATTTTTAATCAGGTTTTTAATTCTACGTGCTTGCTTGAGTGTATATATTGCTTGGTATACTCTTAAACATTCTTATCTGCATCGCTGGCTTGCAACAAATCAACATTTTATCAATATTTAATCTTTCACGAAAAATTAAAATAAAAGTCTGTAACATTATTCATTATATTAAAAACATATTCTTGTTTAATCGTTTAGTTTTTCGAAAACGTGGCAATGAACACTGACAAAGCATATGAACAACGTGACAGACAGAAATACATGAACAATGCGAACTACAGAACACTAGAACAATATGAGTGACAGAACACACGACCAGCAGATCGCACCAACTATATAAACACCAGAACAAGTGAACAAAATACGCCGAATTTGATAACAAGCTGATATCAGTGTTCTCAGGCTCAAAATGTAAAGTATTTTGATAGCATACCTGTACCCTTACAAACACATCGGACACACACACACACACACACACACATACACACACACCTGCCTTCTGGCTTCCTCAGGAGATCTCAGAATTGCGAGTCAGCTAACCTAACTCACTTCAGATGAAGAGTAGAGAAAATCCTCAATAAATATCAGGTATGAATAATTTGTATTTTTATGGTTGAATAATATACAATCAAAATATTCTGCATTTTGAGGCACAGAAAGCAAAACCCTCACACCAACTTGCTCCATCTCTTATTTACTAGTACTTTACTGCGACACAGTAGCCAGCAGGTGGGTTAAGCCCTGGCACTGTCTTACAGTAGCCGGAAGGTGGGTTAGGCCCTGGCACTGTCTCTTACAGTAGCCAGTAGGTGGGTTAAGCCCTGGCACTGACTCCTACAGTAGCCGGCAGGTGGGTTAAGTCCTGACTCTGTTTCTTACAGCAACCAGCAGCTGGGTAAAGCCCGGGCACTCTCTTGCACTAGTCAGAAGGTGGGTTAGACCTTGCCACTCTCTCTCTCACTAAAATATCCTGTCACCACAACCCACAACCCCTACTTCCTTACCCTTCATCCATGAGGATAATATATACTTAATGTAAGAGACGAGACTGTTCACATTGTTCATGAGTTTCCAGTAACTCAGATACAAACTTACTTTCTCTCACACTTTGTTTACATTGTTCATTTGTTTTGGTGTTATTTCATACCTGATTCTCAGAACACTATTTATACATTTTAAACACAATTTAATATTTCTTACCAATATAGTTAACATCAGCGATATTTTTGTTCTGTTTGTCAATGAAGTTACAAGTAAGAGTCTTTCACAATAGTCGAGCCAGTGAATCATGGGATGAGTAAGTTTAAAGAATACATTATGAAATCTTTAACACTCCAGGAAACAGAAAGAAGGAAAAATCTCTATCAAAACTTTCAACGATGAACTTTGAACAATATCATGGAGTCGTGAAGACAGTTTGAGACCGTTGGGAAATTGGCCTTGCTGGATGATGCTGTAGTATGAGATGCCTATTTTGACAATCGTTCCGGGTCATCTCCTGCTGGTGCCGGTATATAGTCCGCCACGGAGCCATATCTGGCACAGTCGTCGCTGGCACTCCCACAGGAGAGCCTTAACTTGACTCCACCTTCCTCACCTGTCAGTGGACCGACCCGAGGACCACCATGGTCACCAAGACGGTGGGTCCTGTCTCACCTTGATTGTTGCCGCCGGAGGCGGCTAGTTTTTACTCATCCTGTGAGCAGTAGCGCAAAAGCGTTACAGAGGGCACAAAAGATCTTTATCAGACCTCGTCTTAGATTATTACATAAACAATTTCATCTATCCTTCACGCCTTATAGTTACATGTCTGCTAGTTACAGAGAAAGTGCTATTTCTAGAACTCTATATTTACAGTAAGTCATTATACATTAATGGTAGGTCTTATCGCTAATACGTAATTGTTTGACCAATGGAGATATTAGAGTCATAGGGGAGCTTAAGTTTAATTATTCGTCTTCACAATACACAACTTATTTCTTAATCTCATATGTCGTTTGTCTACTGGAAGCGAAATATGGATATAGTGCAAGAATTTTAGGTAATTTATCCATTGTAATAAGATAGGTTGCCATATCATACACCGTGAGCTTAGATTTATCTCTAAATGGCTCAATTTACTGCAATCCAAGATATAGTATTCGAGTGTGTGAGTCCCTGTCTTTGTCATCACACTTTACATTTTACCTCATCTAGATCCCTAAACAAGCCAAACCGCCAGAGATGCTTGTAGCCAAGTTTTATACGAGCTGTGACAATGTCTGTTAGTCTACTCGCTCTGTCACTTACCCCATACACATGTTTTACTTCACACATTTCATTGTGATGAACAATGGACCTGCTAGTTCCAGTTTGCACTGTTCTACTTTCTTCAAATCCAACCAGGAGTTCTCGTCTAATGACACTTTTAAGGGACCTATTGGATTACTCAAGATTCCGTTCAATACTGTCATTATTTACTGCAGCCTTAGCAAGGGCGTCAATTTTGTCATGTTCCTGCAGGCCAATGTGAGAAGGAATCAACAACATTTTTATATTTACCCTTTTGCTAAGTATGCTAATATATCTACGTCTAGCTTCCAAGACAAGCACGTTATTACTTGATTGCAAACTGTTTATTGCTCGTAGTGAGGAAAGGGATTCGGAAATAATTAAGCTGTCTACTACAGTGTTATCAATAATTTCGAGTGCTACCAGTATTGCTACCAACTCAGCTTGCATTGTGGATGCCCAGTTACTAATTCGTATAGTTCTTTGAATTGTGCTGCCATCGAGATGATGCCTCACGACACATACACTGGGCTTTGGGTGTTGTGTGATGCTACTCATAAATCCTCTCAATTGTAAAGGGTTTAATGTTTACACTTCATGTATGATACATTTCTTCATGTGAATTCAACAACAGTTTTAACACTATTGCGTCGGCATTTATTCTGAATATTTTCTGATTGCTCTGCTGCAAATCATTCATTAATAACACCATCAGGAACACTTTATATTGTCTCATAAACTATGTGAAAATGGTGTAGGAATTAACCAATATTATTTTATTAAATTTCCTTGATTCAGTAAATGATTCATCACACGTCATCTTTCTGTCTCTCTCAGGTCATCGCCCTGGGGCTTCTAGCAACCTTCTGTGCTGTAGCCATGGCCGACCCTGAACCCGGTGGTAGATATGGTGGTGGTGGTGGTGGTGGAGGAGGTGGACATGGTGGCGGCGGAGGGTATGGTGGTGGAGGAGGAGGACGTGGATTTGGAGGTGGAGGCGGTGGATATGGTGGTGGTGGTGGCGGCGGTGGAGGCCGTGGATATGGAGGTGGCGGAGGAGGACATGGAGGCGGCGGCCGTGGATATGGAGGTGGCGGAGGTGGACATGGAGGTGGCGGCCGGGGAGGTGGTGGTGGTGGTGGTTATGGCGGCTACGGAAAGTAAAACGGTAATATTTAATATTACTCACATCTTACGTGAAAACTTATATGGTATCTCAGACATGTATAAATGTATATTAAAACAAGAAACTTTAATAAGGAAGATCATAAAAAAACAAAGCTGTAATTATCTCTAATTCGAACATCTCTTAAATATGTTAGTTTCATAATATTTCAATTTATAATGTAAAAAATACTAGTTACAAGGAAAATAGTTTTGTAAGTTGATATATTTTCTGGCTACAGGGCATCACCAGGAGACACAGCAACGCAGTTGAGAGCTGGCGCTGTGAACTTATGTTGTGAGCTGATGCTGTGGGCTGATGCTGTGAGCTGATGCTGTGAAGATCTTATGATAATAAACTCTCCACACATAATCCTTGTATATTATGCCTCGTTAAATCCTTCTGTACCAATACTGAGTGAAGTGTTGGGCTTGAGACCTCTCAGCCTCTGGAGGACTTTAAAAAACTAAGGCGACCACATAGTTCTCGAACATAGTAAACTCTCAATGTAGATGCACTTGGAAGTAGGGTTCACCTCTCAGTGTATTGAGCACCATATCATCCTTTGTAGGGTTATTATGGCAGTGATTCTAATGTTCTGATCAACCACCAAATGTAATCTATGTCTGATCTTATATACGAGTAAGCAGCTAGTCCAGATCTATTCCTCATCATATATAGAAATTATAAGAGAATGTCTGTCTGTTGTTCGAAGTTGGAGGTCTGACGTTTGGGTCAAGCTTCACCCAAATTGGTAGAGAAAATTGAGTTCCGGATGCATATGGGCTGGTCAGGTTCCCCAAAATTCAGAAAGGAATTATATTAATGCTGAATGTTCCATATTGACCAACTTTCGCCCTCACCCCTTCCTTCTTGGGATGAGATATGCTGAACTCTGTGAATACTATCTGAAAACTGGAACACTTGATGATATACGGGACTTGAGATACTTGAGATCTCAATCTTGAGAGTACCGAAGTACCGGGAATTATAGCATCCTGTGCAAATTTAGGCACAGGTTAAGGAGCCTTAACGCGGTATAAGCAAAAGTTGTTCAACTTCAATCAAACTTTTTTGCTAGTTTTATATGAAAAGGGTTGCAACTGTTCCAAGTTTCAGTATCGCACCCTAAATAGAAAGGGAGAAACAAATTTAACTAATTTTTCACATTTTCAATCAGTCCGTACAACCACAAGTTTCAAATTAAATCATTTCTATGACACACTTCAATCACATTAGCATATCATAAAGAATTTGTCTAAGCAGATTATCCAAAACATGTTTAGTTTTACTAATACAAATAGTCAAATTTCCCCAAAAATTTATGCTAATATTTCATGTTTGGAAATATTTATAAAATCAATAAATAAACTTTAGAATAAAGGGTTTTAGAGAGATTGTAGACACGTAAACTCTACATATAAGGTGTAAGTTTCATATAAACTGAATAAAAAATGAAAGTGGACTAGAAATTTTCTGTTTTATTGACAATAAATGACAATAAATAAAGTCATAGATTCGGCCACCTGTGGTTGATGTTGACATCAACCAATTTCCTCCAAAATTGGCACCCTACAGATAGGCTTACGTTCCGTAAGGTGCATAAGTTTCATGCAAATCGCCCGATAAATAAAAATGAGAAAAACCAAATCTAATATTTTGTTTTAAACAAATTTTGACATGAAACTAATTATTAAAATACTTTATTATATGCTATTGTGATTGCTGACAGTCATAGATATGATTTCAGTTGTCACTTGTGTTTGATGTAAATTTTTTGAAACATAGTTCAATATTTTTTCCTCCTTTCCTATTTATGCTACGATGCGGAAACTTCGACCAGTTGAAGCCTTTTTCATATATAACTAGCAAATAAAGTTTGCTTGAAATTGAAAAATTGTCATTTTACTGTGTTATGGCCCAGGTTAAGTTAGGCGTTTAAGTTCTGTTGGTGATTATTTGTATTCGTAGTACGTGGGTGAAGCATTAACAGTGTTGTAGTTTGACCAAAAGTCGTCAGCGAAGCACTTGTTCCGGAAGTGATCAGACGTCATTCAGCTCGTCCTCCAAACAAAGACCCAAAAGTGATTCCATGCACACACCAAACCCCCCTGTTTATGAATGAAAAACGGTTTACACACAAGCAACTGCAGACGTTCGAACACTTACGGAACAAGTGCTTCACTGACGAATTTAGTTCGAACCACAACGCTGTAAATGCTTCACCCACGTACTACAAATACAAATAATCGCCAACAGAACCTAAACATCTAACCAAACATAACCTAACCTATGCCTATATATGCACAATATGCTAATATATTATAATATTAATTTATATTTGAGAAAATTCCTGTTTTGAATGAACAGCAAGTCAAAATTTATTAATGCGTTTGAGGGGGTCGACTGCTTTATGTAATGATCTTGAGTCGAGTACGGGTTGGTAAATGCTACAAAGGCATACCATAAATACAAACAATCGCCAACAGAACCTAAACACCTAACCTAACCTAACCAGTGTCTAAATATGTACAATATGGTAATATAAAATAATATCAATTTATATTTGAGACAATTCTTATTTTGAATGAACAGCATGTTAAAATTTATGAATGCCCGTTTGGGGTCGACTGCTGGATGGAATAGACTTGATTTGAGGACGGGTTGAAATCTATATAATTCCCAACAGAAGCTAAAACAAGGATAATATATGTGTTGTCTGTCTGTGTGTGTGTGTGTGTATGTGTGTGTGTGTGTGTGTGTGTGTGTGTGTGTGTGTGTGTGTGTGTGTGTGTGTGTGTGTGTGTGTGTGTGTGTGTGTGTGTGTGTGTGTGTGTGTGTGTGTGTGTGTACTCACCTAGTTGTGGTTGCGGGGGTTGAGCTTTGGCTCTTTGTATATTTGTGTTTAGGTGTGTGCATGTCGCATACATGAGAAGTGTAAGTATTTCCTGCGAGTTTGTTGCGGGTGTTTCTGTGTGTTTGTTTATTTAAATCTTACCACCTGTTTTTAAAGGCTTTTATCAGTAGTAAAAGGACTAGAGGGAATAAGTAAGCGAGCACAACCCAAGATGTATTTATAAGTAAATTATGAAAATTTCTATTTACATTTTTGGTTTGTATTTGTTTTTTGTTTTTGATAGCATCTTCAATGATTTATAATCTCATATAAATAACCAGCATCCGAAAACGAAGCCAACTTTTCGGTGATTATACACAAAACATTTTACTCATCCTAGGCTATATGACTCATAGTGGTCAGTCAGTTCTTGGTGTGGCCAAGAACAATTGTTCCCACCGGCATGGCCCAGTGAGAACAAAATCCGAGACCATCAACGAATCATCGTCATCAATGTTGAAACATCGTTGATAACGTTGATTCATTGTCGAACGAACGCAACTCTTGGATTCTGTGACCACAGAGAATAACCCTCCTGAAATTCATAAGCTTTAAGCTTGACACCTAACTAAAAGGTGTATTTTGCTTCTCAGTGTACTTTTTGCTATTCAGAGGATTTGTTTATCTCCAAAAATGCATACTGGTTGCTCAGTTAGTAATATAATAGACATTATACTCATTCAGAGGTTGAAGAGCCACACACTAGCGGTCAGGGATATATATACACAGAGAGGTGTACTCTACTTCCAGGTGTATCTACACTGAGTTTACTTTGGTCGAGAACTATGTGGTGGCCTTAATAGCCCTCCAGAGGCTGCGAGGTCTCAAGCCCAACACTTCACACAGTATTGGTACAGAAGGAGTTATTGAGGCATAAGATACAAGAAATACGTGTGGAGAGTTTATTATCATAAGATCTTCACAGGATCAGCTCACAGCATCAGCCCTCAGCATCAGCTCACAGAGGCAGCTCACAGCAGCGTTGCTGTCTCCTGGTAATGCACTGTAGCCAGAAAATACTTCAACTTGCAAAATTATTTTCCTTGTAACTAGCATTTTTAACATTAATAAATTTTAATATTAGGCAACTAACATATTTAAGAGATGTTCGAAGTAGAGATAATTATAGCTTTGTGTTTGGATGATCTTCCTTATTAAAGTATTCTTTAGTTTTAATATACTATTATACTTGTCTGAGATACTCTAAACGTTTACACGTAATATCTGAGTAATATACAAGTTTACCGTTTTATTTTCCATAGCCGCCATAACCACCACCACCACCACCTCCACGGCCGCCACCTCCATGTCCGCCTCCGCCACCTCCATATCCTCGGCCACCGCCTCCATGTCCACCTCCGCCACCTCCATAGCCACGGCCTCCACCACCACCTCCTCCACCACCACCGTATCCGCCGCCTCCACCTCCAAATCCACGCCCTCCTCCACCACCATACCCTCCGCCGCCACCATGTCCTCCCCCTCCACCACCACCACCACCACCACCGCCACCATATCTACCACCGGGTTCAGGGGCGGCCATGACTACAGCACAGAAAGTGGCCAGAAGCCCCAGGGCGATGACCTGAGAGAGACAGAAAGATTAGGTGTGGTGAATCATTTGCTGAATCAAGGAAATTTAATAAAATAATATTGGTTAATTCCTACGACATTTTAAAACACTTTATGAGACAAAATAATAACTTCCTGATGGTGTTATTAATGAATGATTTGCAGCAGAGCAATCAGAAAATATTCAGAATAAATGCCAACGAAATAAGGTTAAACCTGTTGATGTATTCACATGAAGATATTTATCATACGTGAAGTGTAAACATGAAACATGTGAGGAATTATAAGTAGTATCATACAAGATCCAAAGCCCAGGGTATGTGTCTTGAGTGTAATAAGCTAAGTTTGTTTTAGAAGCTTATAGATCTCAGATCATGTGGTCTTACGTTGAACACAAGCTAGTGGAGTGAGCGGGTACTTTTTACCTGGTTAGGAGTAAAAAAGATCAGTCGCCAGAGATTAAAAGATTAGCGAGTATAGAATTAATTAATCATCATTATCACATGGGTTTGGTTGTGGCAGCTGAGAAGGTCTCAAGAGTTTGTTAGGGGGCAGTACAGTTTTCGTGTTTGTAGTATCTAAGGCAACCAACCGTCTAAGATCACGAGGAGTGGACTGAAGGCTATAGTAGAGTTCTGGGATCTTTAAGTATAGTTAACTAAGGGCTGGGAAGTGAACGAAAGAGAGACATTACCCCGGCCCCCGTTACATGAGGTGTGAGAGTGAACCCACCGTCTTGGTGACCATGGTGGTCCTCGGGTCAGTCCAATGACAGGTGACAAAGATGGAGCCAAGTTAAGGCTGTCGTGTAGGAGTGCCAGCGACAACTGTGCCAAACCTGGCTCCGTGGCGGACTATATATCAGCATCATCAGGAAATGACCCAGCACGATTGCCAAAAATGACACCTCATACTACAGCATCACCCAGCAAGGCCAGTTTCCCAACGATCTCAAACTGTCATCAGAGCTCCATTATAATATTGTTCACACAGACCTGATTAAAGATATTTTCAGATTTTTAATCAGGTTTTTAATTCTACGTGCTTGGTTAAGTGTATATATTGCTTGGTATACTCTTAAACATTCTTATCTGTATCGCTGGCTTGCAACAGATCAACATTTTATCAATATTTATTCTTTCACGAAAAATTAAAATAAAAGTCTGTAATATTACTCATTATATTAAAAACATATTCTTGTTTAATCGTTTAGATTTTTGACGACGTAGCAATGAACACTAACAGGCCACATGAACAACGTGAAAGGCAGAAACACTTGAACAATGCGAACTACAGAACACATGAACAATGCAAACTACAAAACACATTAACCACAGAACACTAGAACAATATAAGCGACAGAACAGATCACACCAACAATATAAACATCAGAACAAGTAAACAAAATACGCCGAATTTGATAACAAGCTGATGTCAGTGTTCTCAGGCTCAAAATGTAAAGTATTTTGATTGCATACCTGTACCCTTCAACAGACACATCGGATACACACACACACACACACACACACACACACACACACACACACACACACACACACACACACACACACACACACACACACACACACACACACACACACACACACACACACATACACACACACCTGCCTTCTGGCTTCCTCAAGAGATCTCAGAATTGCGAGTCTGCTAACCTAACTCACTTCAGATGAAGAGTAGAGAAAATCCTCAATAAATATCAGATATGAGTATTTGTATTTTTATGGTTGAATAATATACAATCAAAATATTCTGCATTTTGAGGCACAGAAAGCAAAACCCTGACACCAACTTGCTCCATCTCTTATTTACTAGTACTTTACTGCGACACAGTAGCCAGCAGGTGGGTTAAGCCCTGGCACTGTCTCTTACAGTAGCCAGCAGGTGGATTAGGCCCTGGCACTGTCTGACAGTAGCCGGCAGGTGGGTTAGGCCCTGGCACTGTCTCTTACAGTAGCCAGCAGGTGGGTTAAGCCCTGGCACTGTCTTACAGTAGCCGGCAGATGGGTTAGGCCCTGGCACTGTCTCTTACAGTAACCAGTAGGTGGGTTAAGCCCTGACATTGACTCTTACAGTAGCCAGCAGGTAGGTTAAGCCCTGGCACTGTCTCTTACAGTAGCGAGCAGCTGGGTTAAGCCCTGGCACTGACTCCTACAGTAGCCGGCAGGTGGGTTAAGTCCTGACACTGTTTCTTACAGCAACCAGCAGCTGGGTAAAGCCCGGGCACTCTCTTGCACTAGTCAGAAGGTGGGTTAGACCTTGCCACTCTCTCTCTCACTAAAATATCCTGTCACCACAACCCACAACCCCTACTTCCTTACCCTTCATCCATGAGGATAATACATACTTAATGTAAGAGACGAGACTGTTCACATTGTTCATGAGTTTCCAGTAACTCAGATACAAACTTACTTTCTCTCAAACTTTGTTTACATTGTTCATTTGTTTTGGTGTTATTTCTTATCTGATTCTCAGATATTTTTATACGCCATTTATACATTTTACAGACAATTTAATATTTCTTACCAATATAGTTAACATCAGCGATATTTTTGTTCTGTTTGTCAATGAAGTTACAAGTAAGAGTCTTTCACAATAGCGAGCCAGTGAATCATGGGATGAGTAAGTTTAAAGAATACATTGTGAAATCTTTAACACTTCAGGAAACAGAAAGAATGAAAAATCTCTTTTAAAACTTTTAACGATGATCTTTGAACAATATCATGGAGTCGTGAAGACAGTTTGAGATCGTTGGGAAACTGGCCTTGCTGGATGATGCTGTAGTATGAGATGCCTTTTTTGACAATCGTGCCGGGTCATCTCCTGCTGGTGCCGGTATATAGTCCGCCACGGAGCCATATCTGGCACAGTCGTCGCTGGCACTCCCACAGGAGAGCCTTAACTTGATTCCACCTTCCTCACCTGTCAGTGGACCGACCCGAGTACCACTATGGTCTCCAAGACGGTGGGTCTTGTCTCACACCTCACGACACATACCCTGGGTTTAGGGTGTTGTGTAATACTACTCATAAATCCTCACATGTTTCATGTTTACACTTCAAGTATGATAAATTTCTTCATATGAATACATCAACAGTTTTAACCCTATTTCGTTGGTATTTATTCTAAATATTTTCTGATTACTCTGCTGCAAATCATTCATTATTAACACCATCAGGATCTTATTATATTGTCTCATAAAGTGTTTTTATGGCGTAGGAATTAACCAATATTATTTTATTAAATTTCCTTGATTCAGTAAATGATTCACCACGCGTCATCTTCTGTCTCTCTCAGGTCATCGCCCTTGGGCTTCTGGCCACCTTTTGTGCTGTAGTCATGGCCGACCCTGAACCCGGTGGTAGATATGGTGGTGGTGGTGGTGGTGGTGGTAGAGGTGGTGGATATGGTGGTGGAGGAGGGCGTGGATTTGGAGGTGGAGGCGGCGGATATGGCGGAGGTGGCGGCGGTAGTGGAGGCCGTGGATACGGAGGTGGCGGCGGTGGTGGAGGCCGTGGATATGGAGGTGGCGGAGGTGGACATGGAGGCGGCGGCGGCCGTGGATACGGAGGTGGGGGAGGTGGAGGCCGTGGAGGTGGTGGCGGTGGTGGTTATGGCGGCTACGGAAAGTAAAATGGTAATCTTTAATATTACTCACATCTTACGTGTAAAAATATATGGTATCCCAGACAAGAATAAAAGTATATTAATTTAAAACAAAAAACTTTAATAAGGAAGATCATCAAAACTCAAAGCTGTAATTTTCGCTACTTCATACATCTCTTAAATATGTTAACTTCATAATATTACAATTTATTAATGTAAAAAATGCTGGTTACAAGGAGAATAATTTTGTAAGTTGATGTATTTTCTGGCTACAGGGGCATCACCAGGAGACACAGCAACGCTGCTGTGAGCTGCATCTGTGAAGATCTTATGATATTAAACTCTCCACACATATTTCTTGTATCATATTCTTCATTAACTCCTTCTGTACCAATACTTTGTGAAGTGTTGGGCTTGAGACCTCACAGCCTCTAGAGGGGCTATTAAGGTTATCTTGTGATGATTTCGGGGGTTATTGTCCCTGCGGCCCGGTCCTCAACCAGGCCTCGTCTTTGTTACACACACCCCAGGAAGCATCCCACAGTGGCAGTCTAATTTCCAGGTACCTATTTACTGCTAGGTGAACAGGGGTACGAGGGTGAAAGAAACTGCCTATTTGTTTCCGCCTTCCACCGGGATCAGACCCGGAACCTCAGGACTACGAATCCCGAGCGCTGTCCACTCAGCTGTCAGGCCACTACATAGTTCTTGACCAAAGTAAACTCTCAGTGTAGATACACCTGGAGGTAGAGTACACCTCTCAGTGTATTGAGCACCATATCATCCTATGGATGGTTATTATGGCTGTGACTAATGTTCTGATCAATCACCAAATGTAATCTAGTTCTGACCATATATTCGAGTCAGCAGCTAGTCTAGAGTTATTCCACATCATATATAGATATTATTAGAGAATATCTGTCTGTTGTTCGAAGTTGGAGGGCAGACGGTTGGGCCAAGCTTCACCCAAATTGGCAGAGGGAATGGAGTACCGGAAGCATATGGGCGCTCTATCGGTGTTCCCATAGCTTTAACCTCAACACTGGTCTTGTAACAATTAATCAATAATGTATTATTATCAGATCATATCAGAATTCATATTCTAACTTGTGTATATATATATATATATATATATATATATATATATATATATATATATATATATATATATATATATATATATATATATGTATATCACTAAGAACTCTTTGACCCGGCCAGGATTCGAACCCATGCCGTCTAGCATCACCCCTAAACGTACACAGTATCGTGACCACCGCACCAATGATCGTCTTTGACCGGGTTCTAATCCTGGCCGGGTCAAAGAGTTCTTAGTGATGTATGGCTTGCGCGTTCATGCAGCTTTCTCACACACACACACATATATATATATATATATATATATATGTCGTACCTAGTAGCCAGAACGCACTTCTCAGCCTACTATTCAAGGCCCGATTTGCCTAATAAGCCAAGTTTTCATGAATTAATTGTTTTTCGACTACCTAACCTACCTAACCTAACCTAACCTACCTTTTTCGGCTACCTAACCTAACCTAACCTATAAAGATAGGTTAGGTTAGGTTAGGTAGGGTTGGTTAGGTTCGGTCATATATCTACGTTAATTTTAACTCCAATAAAATAATATTAACATCATACATAATGAAATGGGTAGCTTTATCATTTCATAAGAAAAAAATTAGAGAAAATATATTAATTCATGAAAACTTGGCTTATTAGGCAAATCGGGCCTTGCATAGTAGGCTGAGAAGTTCGTTCTGGCTACTAGGTACGACATATATATATATATATATATATATATATATATATATATATATATATATATATATATATATATATATATATATATATATATATGTCGTACCTAGTAGCCAGAACGCACTTCTCAGCCTACTATGCAAGGCCCGATTGGCCTAATAAGCCAAGTTTTCATGAATTAATTGTTTTTCGACTACCTAACCTACCTACCCTAACCTAACCTAACTTTTTCAGCTACCTAACCTAACGTAACCTATAAAGATAGGTTAGGTTAGGTTAGGTAGGGTTGGTTAGGTTCGGTCATATATCTACGTTAATTTTAACTCCAATAAAAAAAATTGACTTCATACATAATGAAATGGGTAGCTTTACCATTTCATTAGAAAAAAATTAGAGAAAATATATTAATTCAGGAAAACTTGGCTTATTAGGCAAATCGGGCCTTGCATAGTAGGCTGAGAAGTGAGTTCTGGCTACTAGGTACGACATATATATATATATATATATATATATATATATATATATATATATATATATATATATATATATATATATATATATATATGACAATGTCAGACCAATGTTTCGATTGGTCTTAAGCTTTGTTATCCACTGAATTTTTTGAAGTTTGTCGTAACAAAGCACGTCGTACATATTATAATAATGTATGCAGTGAAAGGATTCGCCCAAAGAATGTGTTATGTTTACCATATTTCTCTGGGTTTGAGAATATTGTCAAGGCCTTGAAACTTTTTAATATAGATGTATTGTTTAGCTACGAAAACACTGTTGGTAAGCTATTAGTTAGGAACAGCCCTCGTAGTGATAATTGCGTCATTTATAAAATACCTTGTAAGGAATGTAATAAGTTCTATGTCGGGCAAACATCTAAAGATTTAAAATGTAGAATATCGCAACATAAATACTCTGTAAGACATGGCCAATTGTCTAATGCTTTGTTTGTGCATTTGTCAGAAAAAGCTCACCAAATTGATTGGGAGAGTGCTTCTTCTATAACAAATTGTAAAAGCACCTATAACAGAAACATAATTGAATCTGCTTTGATACAGATCACCAAAGAAAGTAATTTGAATATTAGCAGTGGTCTATATAACTTAGATCCATTTCTAATAGATCAGCTAAAGGGCGATTTAAGTAGGATCATTGAAAAACATTTGTCTCACTAATTTATTGTATATATTTACCTCTTTATGTTATAATTACCTATGTATTATGCTTGTATGTCTGCTGTATCAGATGGGCCATTGGGCTACATCAGATGGGCCAATTAGGTGCATCGGTTGGGCCAATGGGCCGTCTGCGTTGTCCAAGTATTGTACTTCACCACTCTCTCCTGCCTATTTATACCCATCACTCGATCTGTAAAATGACCTTCTGAAGATGTATTTAATATACGAAAGTACTTAAGGAAATTCCTGTTTCATTTTTCCTCCGTGGTCTGACATTGTCACATTCTTAATCACGTGTTTATTTTCGTGATATACATATATATATATATATATATATATATATATATATATATATATATATATATATATATATATATATATATATATATATATATATATATATATATATATGTCGTACCTAGTAGCCAGAACGCACTTCTCAGCCTACTATGCAAGGCCCGATTTGCCTAATAAGCCAAGTTTTCATAAATTAATTGTTTTTCGACAACCTAACCTAACCTAACTTTTTCGGCTACCTAACCTAACCTAACCTATAAAGATAGGTTAGGTTAGGTTAGGTAGGGTTGGTTAGGTTCGGTCATATATCTACGTTAATTTTTACTCCAATTAAAAAAATTGACCTCATACATAATGAAATTGGTAGCTTTATCATTTCATAAGAAAAAAATTAGAGAAAATATATTAATTCAGGAAAACTTGGCTTATTAGGCAAATCAGGCCTTGCATAGTAGGCCAAAAAATGCGTTCTGGCTACTTGGTACGACATATATATATATATATATATATATATATATATATATATATATATATATATATATATATATATACATATATACATATATACATAAATGAGGGGGAAGTGATGTGTTTTCGAGGAAAAATGGTCGACTCTCGGGGCGACACCCAACACAGCGTCTCCTGACTGCTTAACACGCTACCAAGGATTTAATGTCTGGACCAAGGGAGACGCGGTGCTGCTCCCCACTTCCATTACTGTGATCACCCAAGATATTGTCTCAGCTGCTCATTGTGAATTATGCTGTCATGATGAGCATGGTGGCCTTGGTGCCGGAGGTAGCGTATGGTGATGACGGTTATAGCGGTTGCGACATCGTAGTAAATCGGGATCGCGGTGGACATGATCGCGGCGACGGGCCTTGTGGTAGAAAAAAGCGAGAGGAAATGAGACGTTAAGGTATATAACTATTTACTGTTGATATGTTAAACTATTTAATTATCACTGTCTTTCTTGTTGTTGATATGGTTTACCATCGTGGGGGGACAAAATGCCAGTTAGATCCATCGATGTCATATTAGTTACTTAATTCAAATCAATTTTTTTTTAATAAACGGTGGTTCATTTATTATAGAGTAAGCTTATATAAACCACTGATCTTCCTCAGGATGCAACGCAACATTTCATTTGTTGTTGCCGCCAGTAGCGGCTGTTTTTTTTGTGCACCCCATACTCATCCTGTGAGTGGTAATTTTTTGTTTACCCAATAGTCATCCTGTGAGTGGTAGTTTATTGTGTGCCCTCTCTGGAATATTCACACGAATAAAATCTCGTGTGAATATCCCAATCACGCTCGTAATTTGCGTGTAGTACAAAATCTTTATTTACCGGAAAATCAATATTTAACAAATAAATATTGATGATTATAACAATCAAATTAATGAAAAGTACAACATAAGTAAAACAATATTTATCTTGTGGAGCAGTCTAGAAAAATATTTCTTGGCAACCCCCTGATAATATGGAGGTCAGCAGTGACACGAACTCTGTAGTAGTGCTGGACCGCTGTGTTAATATCAACGTGATCATCACATTACCACAGACGTGGCAATATCAACACGATCCTCATAGTCGCAACACCACATGACGAGACAAGACTTGGCTACAAGTAAGTAACACTGCCCGTTTGTTTCCGCCTCCGCCGGAGATCGAACCCGGAACCTTACGACTACGAATACCGAGCGCTGTCCACTCAGCCGTTAGACCTCCTTGCTAGTGGCACTTACTAGCACTTACAAGTGGTAGTGGCTGTACAAGACTGTAAGAACTCTTGTATATATAAATAAATCAATACAAATTGTAAGCACATGTTTGGCTTCCCGTAACATGGAAGGAAGTTGGTGCGTTGTTTCCACTCACTCAAACCGATCGTGCTGACTCGAATGTGCAGCCATCTGCTGGCGAAACGATCGCGTGGAGATTCTAAGAAAGCGTTGTGACAAAATAATGTGGGTTGGTCGTTGAAGACGTCCTAAGTGTCAGTCGTCCGACCTTGTTACGGTATCAACACCATCACCGGAGTGGGGAATAGTAGTTCCTGCGCCATCTATGGACCTGCACTCCAACTCCCTGGTATTAGGTGCAATGCAGACAACGCCATCTGTTGGAACGGGTGTGGCAGGTCGATGAGGATGACCTCTGGGGAGTGGCGTATCAAGATCAACGCCATCTAGGTTGTGGCTGCAATCACAATTTCAGTTCCCCGGTAAATGGGTGCTATCCTAAGGTCACCTAGTATACCGTCTGTCTAGCTAATGACGT